CGTGGCCATTTAAAACAAACAACTGAAAAAAGTTATCCAGATAATACATGCATATTGCAAAAAAAAAATTTAAATATACAGAGAAGCAAATGAAGGAAATAAAAATTCCTGCACAATAATCATTGCAATAGTTTGAGTGGAGTCTTGCTGTCTTTTTCCTATGCCTATGTACTTTGCAAAATGGGGTATTTCTTAACCAGTTTTTTTAGAATACATTTTTTCCCCTCTTCTATCAATAACATCTCTTCTGAGCATCATTTTAAATGCCTGTGTAGAATTCTGTGATGCATACATACCATAATTTATTTGAGCAATCCTCTGTTATTACTGGACGTGTAGGTTGCTTCCAGTTTTTTGCCATTGCAAACTAGGCTATATTACTGCACATAATCATAGCTACGTCCTTCTGGTCCCCTTCATTAACTCCTTAGGATGAAACCCTAGAAATGGGATCACTGAAGAGTTTCAATGTTTTCAAGCCCCTTGACATATTTTCCCAAATTGTCCCCGATTTTCTACTCCCATCACTCCACTGGCCATTTCTATTCATTCTCCGTGAGGCATTTCATTGCAGTCTTTTCGAACTCCCACATCACTAGAAACTTGTCAGCAGAGGGCTCTCCAGTGGGAATAGAGGAGGGTAAGGCCAGGAGACTGACCATTTTTTCTAACCACTCTGCCTACAAGAGACTCCCTCCTGCCCCGGCACAGACCAGGCCCCTTGGGCTCATGACTGCTTCGAAAACGAGTGAGTTTGAAAGCCTGGCCTCCCTCTTCTTATTGGATTGCCAGAAAAAACACAGGACACCCAGCGAGATCTGAATTTCAGATAAACAACAGATCAGTTTTTAGTACATAGTATGTTCCAAATATTGCAGGGAGCATCCTTATGCTAAACATGACTTGATATTTATCCGAAATGCAAATATAACTGCACGTCCTGTGTTACTATTATTTGCGACGTCTGGCAACCCTGTCCCCTTAGTTGTACCTCACCCAGTCTGTACTGGCTGTGTTTTCTCAAGGGGCCTTTTGAGAAGATACTGCAAGCTGGTCAGTGGTAATTTTTTGATGGTTGTTGAGTTCTTCCTTGTCCAGTTGGAAACTCGTACATAACCAATGCCCCATTATCTTCCCTATCTCTCACCTGTTTGGAGCCTAATCTTCACTCCTGTCTTTAATTCTCTGCAGGCCACTCAGCCAAGGGCCTCAGGGCTAGGATTAGGGAAGCCCAGGGCCAGAGCCTCTCTCCCCTCCATAGCTCGCTGAGCCATCCAAGGGGACGACCTGTACGTGTCAGTCTAGGCACTAACCTGGCAAGCAACTGTGGAATAAAAGTAGAAACTTAAGAAGTGAAGTCACAAAACTTAGTATCTCCTTCAGTGAGGTGAAGGGCGCGAAGGACAAATGCTGTCGCAGAAAGTTCCAGATCGCATTAGCAGGTGCTCGCAGGAAATCTGTTGGCCAACTGCATGTGCCCTGGGCACAGCCCAAACTACCTGCGGGAGTCCAGAGAAGAAGGCGGTGTGGGTTGTGGACCCTCAGCCAAAGCAGCAGGGCCCGGGGGGAGGTCCAGTTGTCTCGCCATGTGGCCCTGGTCACTGGCCTTGATTCGTGGTATCTCTTGGAAGTGAAAATTGAATCCGGAAGCCCGGCACACACTTGGCTCTCAATCAGTGTTTTCTGAATCATTGATTTATTGGATCAGTCAGCAAATCAATGAAATCAGTGATCAGCCTTCCCCTCTCTGGGTGTTGATTTCTTCATCCATAGAAAGCGAGAGGTCTTCCAGCTCCAGGAACTTGGTTAGTCTCGGATCACTGCCTATGGTACTTTCTGAAACTCAAGGACCCAACAGCATTTTTCTGCAAAGGGCCAGCTAGGAAAATGTTGAGGCTTCGCAGGCCATACGGTCTCTGTCACAATTACTCAACTCTGCTGTTGCAGCTCGAAAGCTGCCCAAGATAATACGTAAATGAATGGGCATGGCTGTGTTCCAGTAAAACGTTATTTATAGACATTGAACTTTTGAATTTTGTATAATTTTCGTGTGTCCGGAAACGTAAGTTTTCTTTTGATTTTTTTACCCCTCCAACTATCTAAAAATGCAAAAACCAGTCTTACCTCATGGGTCGTATACCAAAGCAGGCGGTGGGCCAGATTTGGCCCGAGAGCCATAATTTATCAACCCTGTTGAAAATTCATGAGCAGATACATCTTCCAGGAACTCCTTTGAGCGCTTTAAACAGGAGTTCAGAGTGAGGATGCTCTTTCTCCTTGGTACTCACATAATGATCACCATGTCTGCCACTGGCTTTCACAGACACGTTGCCGTGCCATGCTCTCACTCTAGAACCTATGATGGCTCCCATATTAAGTCCATATCCCAGACCTGTATGTCACCAACACGTCCTATTTGGGTGAACTCTTCACTGTCACATGCCCAGGTATACCACATGCCTTTCTACAGTCAGTGTTGGGCTGAGCTGCCTCCTCGGCTTGAGTGCCTCCTCGGCTTGAGTGCCTGGTACCCTTCTCCCTGACCATCCAGATTGGGCCCCTCCTGTAAGTGGCACCTGAAGCTGAGAAGCCTTCCCCCAAACTGCTCTGATCTCTGTATTCCCTGGACGTCAACCACCATATAGGACTTTCAGATCCCCAGTTGAGAGATCACACTGCCTGGGTTCAAGTTCCTATCGCTTACTCTGTGACCTGAGCAAGTTCCTAACACCCTCCGAGGGATGATAATAATAGCGCTGCTCGCCTCCCAGGATTGCTGTGAGAGTTAATTGAGCTGATTTGTGTAAAATGCTTGGCTCGCAGCCAGGTGCTGATAGTACAAAAAACATTAATAAATGCCAGCTACGATTATACTTCTGTATTGTTTGACCTTTTTTCAGGGAGGCCATCTTTATATAATATTTATAAAAACTGAAAGCACCCTTTTAGGTCTAAAACAACACTACACCATGTTGCTGGTAATTTTTTTTCAGGTAAATTTTTCATTGACATGTAACACACACACAGAAAAGGGCAGAAACCCCAAGTGTTCAGTTTGATGAGTTTTTCATTGTTAGTAATTTTCCTTCTGAGATGAATCAAAACAGACACAATCTAGAAAAACCCCGGCAGAGAGGAAAAGAATCCGTGCTTGAGGGAGTGACATTCTTTGGGGAACAATGTCACATCCGGGCATGAGAGGCGGCTTACAACCAAGGGAGAAGCCAGTTAACGCACAGACCATAATCGTGCCACGGGGAGAAAACAACGGGCAGCATGGCCTTCAGTAATGCTTGACAGAGGCGTCCCTTTCCTAGATGTGTCACCTGAGCCAGTGGCCCTTGGTCCCTTGGTCCCCAGCATGATGCTGAGTGATGACTGAGCTCATGGGCTCCCTGGGAATGTCTCAGCACTTCTTTTTCCCCAGGGAAGGTGTTGAAACGCATTAATCCAAGAACACTAAACAGATGTACACATTCATCATTTATTTCAGTGCCATTAGGTTTGAGGAAACTGAAATAGCCCACGAAAATGAGACTCATTCTTTGACGCAGGAATGTTGGCTAAGATTGTTCAGGAGTGTCTGGCAGCTGACAGCCCAGCCTCTCACCTCCTTACGCAGGGCAGAAGGGTGGATGGAAGTAGCCTTTCCTATGGACCTACTATATATGCACACAGCACTTGCTCCCTCCCTGCCTCCCCTGCCTAGATTTCAGCTCATGAGGACAGGGAAGGCGTCTGCATTCCTAGAGCCTATGACGGTGGCAGACAAAGTAAATGCTCAATAAAAGATGCGCAGAAAGAAGACATACACCGTCCCCGCCCCCCCATAGACAAACAATTTGATATGTCTCAACGGCCGTAGACATGCTGAGCCCTTTGTACTCAGTGGTTCCACTTCTGAGAATCTATAGCCCCCACCCCAAATAATCCAACATAAAGAAAAAGCCTTACGTGAACTTATGTTCATCCTACAGTGACGAAAATAGCACAAACAACCTGAAAACCCACCCACCTAAGTAATCAAGACAAGGACATAATGAAAAGAGCCCTGAAAAATCTACTTGGTGAAATTCCAGGCAGCCGTTACAAATATTGTTTACAGTAAGATGAGTTAATATTGTAGCAAACACATACAAAACTATACTACATAATGCAAAATTGTACGTGCATTCCAATTACTGAGATTATAGGCGTGAGCATCCATCCATTCACACTGTTGGTGGGAATCTCGTGCCCAATCCCTCTGGAGGGCAATTAGAAAATTCCTATTAAAATGCAAGTGTTCATGTTACTTGACCCAGTGATTGCATTTCTAGGAATTTCTTTCTCTAGAAATGTGTTTATTTCTAGGAATTTATCCTAGAATTGTATCAGGAAACCCAGATGTCTAGGAATAGGGGAAGAGTTAAATAAATCACTGTATATCAACATAATGGAATAGTAGACAGCCATTAAAAATGAGATTTGCGTGTGTTGACATGGAAAGATGCCCAAGATATATCAAGTTTAAAAAATTGCAAAATGTTTTTGTATAATAGCCATGACGAGATATATGATAGTATAAGCATAAACCATTTTTTTCAACTCTGGAGGAATATATACTAAGCTTTTGACAGTGGTTAGCTCTAAAGGATAGAGGGAGATGTGCTCCATCTGTGCTGTGAATTCCTATAATGTTTAAAAAATTTTAACAACGAAATGATAAAACACAGAACCTGCAACGCGGGCTCATTCATACCAGCAACAAAAGCGAGGCACGTGAACACTGGAAGCCTCACTAGCAAGGAGCTATTAATAGTGACTGTTTCTAAGTCATGAGATAACGGGCCACCTTTGTTTTTCTTCTTTTGGGGGAAAACATCCATAAAGAGCATGTGTGGCCTTTACAAAAGTCAGCCCCCTCCCAGAAATCCTCTGGGTTGAAATGAGGGTGGTGCTCAGGGTGTACAATGTTCTGCCGATGTAACCTGCTGTCGTGCGGTGTCCTGTCTCCCCAGGATGGATGACATCCAGCTCTGCAATGACATCATGGATCTGAAGCAGGAGCTGCAGAACTTGGTCGCCATCCCAGGTAACCACCGGGGACTCCACCTCAGTGAAGCAGCTACTCAGAGCCCCCAGCCAGCCCCGTCTGTACCCCTTAGGGCTAGAAGGCAGAGTTCACCTTCTCTCCTAGCACGGCCTCCTTCTTGCAATGCAGTGTTCCCTGGTTGTGTGATTCAAACACAGCTCTGTGTCAGGCAGACCCAGGTTCAAGTCCTAATTCTGGCCATCTTCTTGGCAATCACTTTCTCTCTCTGAGACTCAGTCTCCCCTGAAAATGGGGTCTTAATAGTACCTCACTCACTGGGTATAAATTTCACTGTGATAAAGGAAACAGTGCAAGCCACGTGCTTAATTTGGTATCTGGTTCAACGTGACAGTTCAGTAAATATTAGCAGTTGTCACTATTATTAACCTGCTTGAGAAGAGATAGAGTCTGGTGGTTACAGGCTCTGGCTTTGGAGTCAAACCTAGATTTGTCACTTACTCATGACATGACCTTGGGCAAGTTGCTTCACTAAAACTCAATTTCTTCATCTGTAAACTGGGTCAGTAGTGGTATCTACGTCATAGGGTTGTTGTGGGATTGACAGAGGGAAAAGATATGTAAAGCGCTTACTTAGCACAATCCTATAATAAGTACTTAATAAATTATTGCTACTACTATTATTATTATTATTATTATTATTATTATTAGCCAAACAAATTTCTACTACTTCAGGTCATAGCTTATTTGGTCCCTTCTCCCAGGAAAACCTTCCCTGCCCCTCCAGGGCTGGGTTAGGTGCCCTCCAGGGCGTTACTCTTATCAAAGTACTTATCAAATCATTGCCTGTTCACACATAGACTCCTATGTCCCTCTCTGGACGCCCATGCTCCTTGAGGGCCTGGTAAGTCCTGAGAGGAAGGTTTATCCAATGAACAAACACAAGCCTGTTTCAAGAACCTTGCCTTGGCCTTGACAAAGAACAACACAGGCCCGATAAGCACCCTCCCCGTTGTCATTTCCTTGAAGGTGTTCACCATTCTATCAGTTCAGCAGGTATGTCTCAAGAGGCGGCATTGTTGGTAGGTGCTGGACACACAGTGGATGAACAGAAAATGGTTCCCTGCTCTCAGGCACTCACAGGTTCACAGAAAGAGACGGCCTGACACCCAGTGGATACCTGTTATGGAGCTGGAAGTGCAGCACAGTGCGCTTTAGTACATGGTGGTGTTCCAAATGCCGCACCACTAGGGACATTTGGGGCTGGATAATTCTCTGTCCTGTGTGCTGTAGGATTTAGCGTGATCCCTGACCTTTACACACCACGCGTCAGCAGCAGTCCTCCCTCCCAGATGCAGCAGCCAAAAATGTCTCCAGACAAATTGTACCCCCATCCCCCCCCACTCCACCCCCAACTAAGAACCACGACTTTAGAGTCCAGTGATCTGCATTTGAATCCAGGATGACCAGCTAGCCGACCTTCATGGGACAATGTGATTCTCTGAGCCTTAAGTCCCTTGTTTGTACAATGAGACCACCCTTCCATGTGGTGGTTGTGACCGTGCCGTGACATAACCTGAGATCACAAATACAAAGCACAGGCTTCTCGTTCTGACAGGAGTATGTGCGGTGGCAGCAGAACTTTCAGATGCCATTGCTTCGACGAGCACCTCCTAGGTGCCAGGCCCTGTGCAGGTCCTGGGAGTGTACGAGCCAGTGGACAGTCCTGATTGGAAGGGGCGACAGCTGAGGGGCATGGGGTTTCTTGTGGAGGTGGCTAAAATGTTCTAAAATGGATTGTGATGATGGTTGCATAACTCAGTGACTAACACTTTGAAATGGTGACTTGTATGGGACGTGAATTATGTCTCAATAAGACTGTTACCACAGGGGGAGAAAGCCAAGTCTAGACACCACTGCCTAGAAATTCCAATTCGATCCCTGTGGGGTGCTGGCATTGGTCATTTATAAACGCTTGTCATGGGGCTGTGATGAGCAGCCAAGGTCACGAGCCACCAGGCCAGTTCAACTCTCCCATTATATAGCCCCTCCCACCAGGAATCGTTGCGGTGGACGGTACGAAACCCATCCAGGCTGCTGTGAGCACAAAACGGGCAGTCACTGGAAGGACAGTGGCAACTCCTGGAGCCCCAGGGCAGTGTGTTAGTTTCCTAGGGCCCCCATAACCAACTCCCCAAAACTCTGTGGCTTCACACAACAGAAATTATTCTCTCACAGTTCTGGAGGCCAGGAGTCTGAGAACAAAGTGTCGGCCTCCAGGGGAGTTCCCATTCTTGCCTCTTCCAGTTTCTGGGGTCCTTCCGTCATCCTTGATGTTCCTTGGAGATGCTTCTTCAATCATCTACAAGGCTTCGTCGTGGCCTTCTTCTCTCTGTGTGTCTGTGTGTGTCATCTCCTCTCCTTAGAAGGACGCCAGTCATTGGATCAAGGGCACATCCTAATGAGTGTGACCTCATGTCCACTAATGACATCTGCAAAGATCCAGTTTCCAAATAGGGTAGACATGAAACCTGGGGTGGGGTAATACTATTTATCCCAAAGCAGGCGTAAAGCTCTGCCCCACTCACAAAGGTCCAGAACCAGAAAAGGAAAGCTGTTGGAATTCATTTTCCCTCCCTCTCTCTCTCTCTCTCTCTCTCTCTCTCTCTCTCTCTCTCTCTCTCTCNTCTCTCTCTCTCTCTCTCTCTCTCTCTCTCTCTCTCTCTCTCTCTCTCTCCCTCCCTCTCCTTCTCTCTCCCCCTCTCTTTCCTGCACATGTTCCATTTTGTCCTGTAGCACATGAGCAAAGGAAGGCCACTCACGTCTCCTCTCCATGATCTTCCCACAATTCTCAGGGCCTCTGTGTCCCAATTTTCAACATCACAGGAGACTCTGATGGGTCCAACAGGGGTTGGCAGGACTTGTGGGAACAACCGAGGCAAAGGAACCATAAGAGTGTAGCCACTGGGTCAGCCAAGGCCACCTCAGGCCAGAGGGGCTCCACTCGGGGCCCTGGCAGCCTCTAGAGCAACGGTTCTCAACCTGTGGGTTGCGACCCCTTTGGGGGTTGAACGACCCTTTCACAGGGGTCGCCTAAGGCCATCGGAAAACAAAAAGATATTTACATTATGATTCATAACAGTAGCAAAAATTACAGTTATAGAGTAGCAACGAAAATAATTTTCTGGTTGGGGGTCACCACAACATGAGGAACTATATTAAGGGGTCGCAGCATTAGGAAGGTTGAGAAGCGCTGCTCTAGAGCATGTGTGGAAATGGGTGGAGTGGGGGGATCTTTGATTGACACAGTCACTGGGGTGCAAAGCTGACCAGGACTAGGGTGAGAAGAACAAGGCGCTCAGCTGGAGCACAGAAGCTTCAGTAATCAGGGCAAATAATATCTTAATGCAATTATTAAAATATAAAAATTCATACCAAAAAAATCCACAATGAACAAAATATCGAAAGTTTAAATAAAGGTTAGAGGCAGGGGATGCTAAAATTTGCAGCATGGGGGCAGGCCCATGTGAAGAATGGGCTCCTCCCCAAATGCCATTACCTGTCCAGCCGAGAAACACAGGTTGCCCAGGGTCATAGGGCCAGTTAGCACCAAAGCCCAGGTCCTTAACGCCAGTCCCACTGATTACCCAGGCAACTGCATCATCCCAACCACTTTGTACTGAAAGTCAGATATTAACGTCTTCTTTCCTCTCGTTGCATTCCTACTCACCTCTCCCCGTCTTCTCCCCTGATTCCTTGTTAAGAGTCTTTCTGTGTATTCCCTGGATCACTGCCAGGTTTCTAGATGGACTTAGCTGAATTTAGGGGGGGAAATGATGCTCCGGTAACCCATCAATAAAAGCATTAAGGAAAGAGAGCACTGCATGGCCAAGAAAATCACGTCTCTCCAGCCAAGGTCAGAAAAATAATTCGCCGGCTCCCTGATGGTGGGTGACTCTGATCTGAAGGAACACCTGGGGCCCTTCCTGCCTGAAGGGCTTCTCAAGGACAAACCATGATGTCTCCATCCCCCCCTACCCCCCACTGCCACCACCACTGCTTTAGCACTGGGGTTGCTTTAGAGCTAGCTGTAGAGGCCATGGTACCTTCCCCTTGGACACAGACATAGCATCTCCCTCAGAGGGTTATTGGAAAGATTTAAATTAGTGATTCTCAACCAGGAGCGATTTTGTCCCCCAGAGCACATTTTTGGTTGTCATATTGAGGAGGACATACTACTAGCAAAGAGTGGGTAGAGACCAGGGATGCTGCTAAACATCCTACAGTGCCCGGGACAGCCCCCCACCATAAGGAACTACCCAGCACCATCATCGGTGGTGTCAAGGGTGAGAAACCTGGATTAAACGAGAATGTAAAGCTCATGAGAATATAAATATAATAGCTTTCAATTTATTAAGCACTTACCATCTGCACACTTACGTTGTGAGATTTGTTTGCTTTTGATGCATCCCATAAGTATTTGTTCCTTTTTGTACCTGGTTCAGTAAATATTTAATCTGCAGGGCATTTCATCCTTTGTGCCCAGAGGCACACAGCTAAAAAGGAGACAAGCTGGGGGCATCAAGCCAGGACTCTCTGATTCTAAAGGGAGGGCCCACAGTTGTGATAAGGGCTACAGGCCAGGGAGACTGGGTGGGAGGCCTCGGCACGGCCCAGGGAAAGGTGATGGCGGCCTGGGGAGGGAGGCATGCTGGAGGGGACAAGAAGCACGTTGGAGGGTCACATGGGCAAGCGTGTGGAGCTGGTGGGACTTAGATGTGTGATGCCAGCAAACAGTGGGTGAAGTTGGTAAGCTGGCGGTTCTCATTGGCAAGTAGGTGGGTGATGTTGGCAAGAAAAGGGTCACATCACCCAGCAAGTGGTGAAGCGTGTAGACAGGTGGGTGGAGCCTGTGGGCAGGTAGGTGTTGCCTGTGAGCAGGGGAGTGAGGCCTGGAACGGGTTGGCTGGGGCCTGCAGGCAGGTGGGAGGTGTTTGCTGGCAGGAAAGGTCTGTGACACACCTAAGCAGGTGAGCTGCACTGGCCGATGGCATGGAGACTTGGGTATGTATCTGGTTTGTAAGCTGGCACAGACCACTTTGAGTAGGCAACTTCTTCCGTGAGTTGCTGGGAGGGGCTGCATGAGTGGAGGGCTGCAGCCGAGTACCTGGGAGGCTGGGGGATGCCTGAACTGCTGAGAGATAGAAAACGAGGGTGAATAACTTGGGTGAAAAGGTGTGTCTGTTCCTGGGGGCCCTGGCAGTCATTATGGACCCCCCTGAGAGAACTCAGCGAGCAGGGTACCTTGGAAAGTCCATGGTTGCTGTGTTAACTCACCTGCAGAGGGTTGGGAGGTGCTCTGTGGTGCTGACCAGATATTTGGGGAATCCGGCCCACAGGACCCACCAGGGGAGGAATGATGCTACTTGCATGAATGCAGCGATAGCCAGGAATCCCCGGGGCTGATGGAAACCCCATCCCCTCTCCACTTGCCCTTCTGGTGAACGGCAGAAGCCTTTTTTCTCTCCTGGCCAAATATCATTGTCCCCTGACCTCTGATTCTGCCTCCAGATGTAGAGGAAATTGTCAGCACCAGTCCTAGGCAGGCAGATGGACAAGCTGCCCCACTGTATCTTCTGAAGGGGTCTGAGCAGAGGGAGCCCAAGCGAGATTGCGTTTCTGTCCTAGTTTTCTCAGTCCTCGTTTCCCGCCCTGGTTCTTCTGTTTCCTCTGTGGCGTTCTAGCCCGTGGTAGTTGGGACAGATGCTTTCCATCTGACAAGTTGGTTTGCCCTTGCTGTGGAGTATTTCCCCCCTGGCTCCCCTACCTGAGCCCTCGGAGATCTCTGCCTCCTACACGACCCCATCGCAGCATCACCATTTCCTGAGCGCTCACCCTGGCCAAGCTCGGTGCTAAGCCTTTCCTTAACATCACTGCACGTAAGCCTCCCTGGGTGTATTTTCACAGAGGAGGAAACCGAAACTTGAAAAGGTCAAGTTGCTTCTCCAAGTTCACCCAGCTGGTGAAATGGTAGACTCGGACCCAAGTGCTTTCACCAGTTCCACTCAGTGGTTTCTTTGCTGGTGTCTTCTTCTTCCCAGAAAAAGAAAAAACGAAGCTGCAGAAGCAGAGAGAGGACGAGCTGATCCAAAAGATCCACAAACTGGTGCAGAAGAGGGATTTTCTCGTCGATGACGCAGAGGTCGAGCGGCTAAGGTGAGTGGCTGGCGCGTCACCACGCACTGGGCGGCTGCAGCTCGGCCCCCGGCTTCCTTCCAAAGCCATCCTCTGCCCCTAGGACTCACGGCCTCGCCTGTCAGGCATGGCATCGGTAAACACGCCCCAAACACTGGATCCAAATGAACCCCAACCTTCCGGCCCAAGGACCCAGTTCACGTTCAAGAGAAACTCAAGTCCAGCTTTCAACAGCCTAGCAGAGGCCTGTGGGTCTCAACTGAATGTCATTTGAGGAGGTGACCAGGGAGAAATTCCATCACATTACACATGGCAGCGCTTTCTACACATTCTCTTCCCCGTCTAGAAACTTCTGTTGGTTTCTACAGAAGCTCTGCCCCCTATACAGACTTGCTTCCTTGCCCGCCCTCTCCACTGTCCAGTGTGTTTTTTCGTTTCCCCTCTCCTTGGTGGCTCCGATGCCCCTTCAGGATCTCCAATGTGCAGACGTACCTGCCACCTTGACCCGGACAACCATGGGCCCTGGAGCCACCGGTCACCTGAATGAAGGCTCTGGAGGAGGCAGCATGGGAAAGATGTGACTGTTGATTCTTGATTACGTTTGTCCTGGAGCAAGGGCTTTGGAGCCATCCATAGGGAGAGGGGCTCACGGGGCTGCCTCCAACCCAGAGGGCAACTTCCTCTGGCAGCTTCCTCTTTACTCTCTGTGTCCTGCTGGGTCCTCTGAGGCCCCTGGGAGGCCCCTTGCCCAGCTCAAGCAAAGCCCACTGTCTTAGCACCTGGGGACCCTTGGAAGAGCTAAGGTGACTTCCCCTCCGAGGCCTGCCACGTAACACGGGAGCACAGGTGTCTAAGGTGACTTAAAGGTACAGGGTCAGGTGAGTTGTTGCCCAGCTCACTGAATGCCCAGCAGGGAGACTCGGTCCTGTAATGTCCCTGTCTCTGCCCTGGGGTCTCACCTCTACCCAGTTATGCATTTACTCCATTGTTGATACACGTCTCTGCCTCAGACCAGGTCCATCAAACACAGCATACAACCCAAAACATAGGCACACACCCCCACACACGTAACACAACACACACACACCACCTGCCTATCACACATATATGCACCATCCATACATAACACACAACATACATGCAGTATCCATAAAGCCTGTTACATGGTCCCCCACACATAACCCCTTGCCTCATTTCGTCAGTTCCTTGATTATGGGACTTTTCTCTTGTCTTTACCCATCTGATCACAGGGAGCAAGAAGAAGACAAGGAAATGGCCGATTTCCTGAGAATCAAGTTAAAACCTCTAGACAAAGGAACCAAATCTCCAGCCAGTAAGTACATATCTTATTTCTTCTCTTCCTCCTAGCCAAGAGAAAAGGAAATTAAAAAAAGAGTTCTGGGGCCCAGACAAGGCGCAACGAGATACTTATTAGAGATCAAACGTGGTCCCAGGATGGCAGCCGGCAGGGCCAGCTCCATCAGTGAGCAACCTGTGCAGTGGCCAGGGCCCCACGCCTAGAAGGAAGGGTACTGTGCTTGCATTAATGTTCAGCTGTTGCAGTCTTGAAATTCTTAAGAATTTTGCAACACGGGGCCTCGCAATTTCAACTTGCATTGGGTTCTGCAAACTCGGCAGCCGGTTCTGGCAGCAGCTTTCTTTCACTCTCTAATCACACAGTTTGGTGCATTTCATAGACGGAGCTAGGTGGCCACTGAGGCAGAAAAGGTGGGGACTGAAGTTCAGGGAGCTCTGGCCTCTGTCGGAGTGAGAACATTAGCCTCACAAGATACTACGAGAAAAAAAAAAGAGGGTTTCATGTGAAATACGTTTGGGAAATGCTGCATATTCGACCCTCTGTATGGAGGGGTCCTAATGCTCACTAGCATATTACACACTGGTCATGGGTCCTGGTGTCAAGGAACGCTTTTCTCTCTGTTGATCCACTTATAAGGAATGGATGTCCAATTCAAACTGTCTCTAGCGAAAACAGTGGGGAAGGAAAGCAACAAGAACCAGAGCTTCCGGGGCTGGACACTGTTCTAACGCTTGCTTCCTAACTTCCATTTCTTATCTCTGCCCCTCTTTGTATGTTAGCTTCATTTTCTCCTACCCCACAGGTCTCCTCCATGGGGCCAAAACTCCGGAGCCTTAACTTAGTAGCAAGGCAGTACCACAGGTCCTCTCTTTTGGTATCTAAATATATAAATCTCCGGGAAAGATTCTCATTGGTCTGTCTGAATTATGGTCCCGCCTCTTAGGCCCATCACTGTTATCGGGAGGCTGGGGTACTGTGATTAGCCAGATCTGTGTCACATGCCCACTCCTGTAGCCACAGGGTCGTGAGCTGTTATCAGAGTAAAAGGGACTAGAAGTCTTGCTAGGAAGACAAAACCCAAAAGCTGCCACTGTTGACTATAGCTACAAACCTAGTTTTATCTGATCACCCATTAATATCCCATGAAAATACAGTTGTACAGTGTGGGGAATTAAAGAAGAGCCATGATCCCTTCTGCAGGCCCCTAAAATCACAAGGTACATGGTCCCTGTGTAAATCCAGCATCCTCCATGGGCTGTCTCTTCCATAAAAGGCAAATCAGAACAACTCCACCTAACACTGTGGAGAAGAAGGAAGGAAACTTGCATTCTGTTTAGGGTTATGGAGAGAAAAAAGAATTCTGGCAAGAAATCAATATACCAACTTATACCACATGCTAAGTGTGGGGTCCAAATTTACACTACCTGCCTGGTGCTGGAATCCCAACTTGAGAATTTAAAACTAATCGAAAACCAGTGAAATTTCTGGGACCCCAGCAAAGCAAATGCAAAGTTGTTTCAGCATTCCATAATACACAGTCCACAGATAAAGCAACCCCCATGAAGATGAACTCTCAATAAAAATTTAAAACTCATGAAGGATTGAACCACCATGAAAAGAGTCAGTAAATGCAACAAAAAGAGTAAGCCTGCCCTCTCAAGGACCAGAAATAACAGACTTATCTAAAAGAGACAATAAGTATATTCAAATTTGAAAGCACTAAGAGAAGGAATACAACCCAAAATGAAATAGCAGGATGCTATGAAAAAAAGTATAGGTAGATTTGAAATTAGCTTTCTAAAAAAAAAATTTTTTTGTTACTAAAGTAAAAATGGAATGATTTAACATAGAGACTCTGCTGAAGGGAGGATTCATAAATTGGAAAACAGAGCTGAGGAAATTACCCAGAATGCCGCACAGAGACAAACAGATGAAAAATATGAAAGAGAAGTGATGAAACATGGAAGATAGACTAACAAGGTCCAACTTATATCTAATAGGCATCCCAGGAGAAGAGCTAACAGAGAATGAAAGAATAATGTATGAGCATTTTCCAGAAATAAAAGACATGAGCCCTCGGACTGAAGTGACTTGAACGAAATTCCCATTTACTCATCCACCAAATACTTCTTGGATGCCAGACGCTGGGATAGGCTTGGCAGATACTGTGGCAAGGAAACCTGAGTAGGATAAGCACGAAAACTGTGGCTGGAAGCTGAGGACTGAAAGCCAGTTGGAACTGTCAGTCAGTAGGGAAGTGGGAACTGTCAGTAGGACCCTGTGAAGCGCTCGCTGGTTCTCCACCCCAGCTAATCTGTGGAGTGGAAGCAAGGCTTGGCCAGGGGTTGGAATGGGACTGGGGCCGCAGGTGGTCAGGGCTCTCCTCACCTCACCTCTCCCTCTCTGCCTTTTTCCCTTTCTCCCTCTACACTCTTACCTCGCTGCAGGCTCCCGAGCCGAGAAGAAAGCAGAGCCCCCACCTAGCAAGCCCACAGTGGCCAAGACCGGGCTGGCACTCATCAAGGATTGCTGTGGGGCCACCCAGTGCAATATCATGTAGCCCTCATGTGGGGTGCCCCCAGGGCCACGGGGACCCCCCGCTCCCACCCACTTGTCTTCATAGCCCCCATGCCACCGGGGCCCAAGAGCTCTCCAAGGCGGAAGGGGTTGAAGGCAAGCCTGTGACTGCCGCCAGGGGCCGTGGGCGTGGCGGGCGGGCCCGGCCGCCCTGTACAGAGTGTAGCAATAGGGAGTCCCTCACCGTCGCATGGCCCTCCCCAGAGCATGCCGAACCCAGGAGTCTGTCTCACCGTTTATCCAACCACCAGGAAAGGTCCCCCCTCAAAAAAGTATATCTCCACTTCTATCTAGCTGTATCTAACCCACCGTGCGAATGAACTGGGAGGGGCATGTTCTCCAGGTGTGTATAGTCGTGACTTTTCAACAGTCTGGCGCCATGTTGGACACTTCCCCCATCCACCCTCCTAGCTCTGCTGTCAGGCCTGCCCCAATCAGGCACAGCTCCCGTCTCCCGTCTGTCCTTTCCCAGGCGCTGTGCCTTGGAGGGCTCCACACAGCCCACCTGTCTTGGAGACACAGAGGGCCCATCTGCCAAGATGGAGCTTGTGTGTGGTGTCGTGGTCACGTCTCCGGCTTCCTCCCCTCCTCTGTCTGGGCCCAGGTCACACCAGGAGCGTGTCCATTCGTTTTTGGCTCTTCCGTCCCTTGCAACGGCTGCCCGAGGTGTGTGGAACGGAGGGGACGGGTGACTGGGCTGGAGCACACCCAGTGCTCGGAAGTGGTGGCAGAGAGCTGGAGGCTCCAACGCCAGGGCAAGGGCAGACAAGAAGGGGACCCAGAGCAGATGCTGACCCAGATGCCCTCCACCCATTGGGGGCCACCGGAAGGAGAGCCAGCGGGACCCCACTCACAGCCTAACACACAGACCTCCGTAAACAGCAGCTGCGGCGGGCAGGAGGGGCGGCCTGACCCAACCGTGCCCCATGATTCAGTGGTGTATTTTAACCAGCCTAACAATTCCACCTGTGTAACTTGATGTATATATATATATGCTACAGCCAGCTCGGCACAGCCCATGTGACCTTTCTGTGCGTGTGTGTGTGTGTCGTGACCGGCCTAAGTAGTTAGCATAACTCAAGATTTGCTGATGTGCAACCATCCATGGAAGAAAATAAAAATGGAAACCACGTACACAGCATTTTTAAGGTTTTTACTTTTTTCCTTGACTCTGGAAGTAATCCATGTACACAGTAAATCAGTTAAAAAGTCTAGAAAACTATAAAGAAATTTTCTGGTTTGGGTTTTTGTTTTTGTTTTTGTGTTTTTTTACTCTCATAATTCCTCCAACTAGAGGCCACTGACATTTTGGCCTATTTGCTTTTGGGCTTTTTTTCCATGCATTTTTTCATTATTGGCATCATATTGTACCATTTTATAACCAGCTTTCTTTTTTTCACTTAGCATCATATCACGATCATTCTCCGCCATCATGAAAAGGTCTTTGTAAACATTAAACACTCGTCATAAATATTTACAACGGCTGCTTAGTAATCATCTTCTTGATATACCGTAATTTATCTGTTTCCTTACTGTTGGACATTTAGGCTGTTTCTAGTTTTTCAGTATTATAAATAATGTCGTGATAAACATCCTGGGGCTGAAGCTCCATCTGAATTTCTGATTTTTCCTGAAGAGAAACTTCTAGAAGTAAAGCTCTTGCGCCATGAATGGTTCACATTAAAAAAAAAAAAAATTGTAAACCAAAGGTAAATCTGATTGCTTCTCAAGCCACAGCAGCTGTGGAGTTGACACAACATCTCTCTGAGGACCACCGAGTCCTCAGTTCAGTGGCCCCGCCCAGTGGGCAGCACGCCCCTCCCCACAGTGTCTCAGATGTGTTTCTGCGTCAGTCCCAGCTTGGGCCTGCACACCAGGTCCTGCTCTTCTGAAGCTGAAGGGGCTCCCTCAGGCCACGGCCAGTGCCACTGTGTCCCTCAGCGCCCGAGACCAAGCACGAAGCCAGGCTGTAAGAGCTTCCAGGGGCAGCCATGACATATTACTTCAACCGTGGTGACTATAAACAACAGACATTCATCTTCACAGTCCTGGAGGCCAGAGATCTGAGATAAAAGTGTCCACACAGCTGTGCCCCCTCTGAGGGCTCCAGAGAGGAATCCTTCCTGCCTCTTCCAGCTCCTGGTTGCTCCTGGCCATCCTTGACCTCCTTGCTGCAATCTCACCTCCGTCTGCACAGGGCCTGCTCCTTTGCTGTGTGTCTGTGTGTCCTCTCCTCTTCTTATAAGGAGATCAACTCATTGGAGTTAGGGCCCTCCCTACTCTAGGATAATTTCATCTTGGTCCTTACCTTAATTACTTTTGCAAAAACCCTATTTCAATAATGTCACATTCTGGGATACCAAGTAGATATGAATTTGCGGGGGGGTGGGGTGGGGGAGAATGCTATTCAACCCACTACATAGCTGCGTCCTACTCTTGGCAATAAAAACTCGGGCTGCAAAGGGTCCACCTCTCTCCCTTGCCTGTGGAAAATGTGGGTCTCGAAGGCCTGACCTCAGAGCAGTCAGAGAGCAGTCACTCATGGATCCAACGAGCCGAAGGAAACTGAAACCCTCCTGACAATCCTGCCTGTGGTACATGCCTGGAACCCTGAGGTGGACCTGACTTATGTTCCTGCTCTTCCAACTGATTTTCTTAAAAGAAAAAAAAAAAAGAAGACACCATTTATTTAGGCTTTCACAGAAGAGCAGAAGAAAGTAATAATTCAAGATGCTCCCAGATCACCAGGGCTGCCTGCAAAGCTGGGAAACCTTGCAGACTTCGGGGACCCGCACACCCAGACTTGCTGCTTTTGGAAGCCAGGGGAGCGGGGAGGGGAGGATAGTAACAGGAGTAACAGTTGCTGAGAGTTTATCACTGTGCACTGAACCATGTACACACATTTGCTCGTTTGCTTCTCCCATCAACCCCACGAGGCAGATCCTATTATCACCTCCGCTTTACAGGTGAGGTTGTGGTCCAAGGTCCCATGGGGAATAGTGGTGGGCTCACCATTCAGCACCCACCCCCTGTAACCTCCATTGTCCTTTCTCATCCCATCAGCATTTCCACAAATCTCTTCCATTAAAAAACAAACAACCCTCCATCCCATCTTCCCTCACAGCCATCACCTTCTCTACGTTCTTGAGACCTGTCTCTCATCTTGCCAGCTCCATTTTCCCTCATCCCTACCTCCCTCCTCAACCTGTTTTAATCTGACCTCTGTCACTCTGTTGTCACTGACCCTTCTCACCAGGGATGTAACCCTTTGGTCATGGAGGGGAGGAAAAATCTTTTTCTTTTTTTTTTTTCTTTTTTTTTTTGCTGAGCCATCCTGCTACCTATTGGCAGCTTAGCGGCTGCTCAGCTCGGGCTGGCCTCGAACCGCTGTTGCTCAGAGCTCAAACTCTTGAGCGAGCTCTTAACCAACTGAGCCATTCGGCTGGCCCAAAAATCTTTTTCTTTACCCATCTTGGGTTCTCCCGCTGGGGCCCTGTAAATGAGACCTGCCAAACGCAGATTAGCAAGAGGAAAACAAAGAGAAGTTTATTAACTCATGCATCACACATGTGCACAGGGGAGCACCCAGCAATGAGTAACACAAAGAGGTGGTTAGAACTGGGGGTTATGAACCATCTTAGGCTCAAACAAAGGAGAAGCACTTCTTTGCGTTGCCACGTTCTCTCTGCCTTCCATGACCCTCCCAGTTTTGGGAGGGCCCAGGCCAGTGGTTTGAGCAGCCTGCCTGCATTCCAAACACGGTTCCCTGGTGATTTGATGTCCTCCCTGGTTTGAGAACCACTATCCCTGCGGGGTCTTCCTGTCTGAGTCTGAGTCTGAGTCCTGCAGGGAGGCAGGGCCCACGTCTTCCTTATTGGGTCCCCACACCTGGCTCCGTGCCTGGGGCCCTTGCGGGCAGGGCCTCAATAAAGACTGGACTCGGAAGCAGTGCAGGGCCCCCAGCCTGGCTGTCCCACCGGATGACTGGGCCATGGCTCAGCCTCTCCAGCCTCACGTTCCCCATCTGGAAGCCCGTGTGGGGGCGGAGGGTGGGTTGGACGAGTCGCTCTTAAGGGCCCTTGCAACTTGGAAGCTTGGTTGTCGGCCCTCAAGAGGTTTAGACCAGGACCCCTTCATCCCCTGCCAGGAGCTGGGTAGGATGTCTTGGGCCTCCTACGTCCGTCCGTCACTCATTCATCCAATACTTACAGAGCATCTAGGAGGAGGGGCCTGTGACTCGCTTCTAACCAACGGAAGTCGGTGAAGATGCTGGGCGGTCACTCCCTGGATCAGGTTCCGTTGGACAAGGCTGCTATTTAGCAGGCTGGAGGAGGCGCTCTGCTAGCTTGATGAACTAAGCGGCCATTTTGGGGAAGCCCCTGTGCCGGGGGACAATGGGCGGCCTCCAGGATTTGCAGGCAGCTTCCAGCCGACCGCCCACAAAACCTGGGGCTCTCAGTCGGGGAGTGTGTGTGTGTGTGTGGGCGGGGGGTCAGGCCTCAGAGCCCATGCCGGGCCCTGCACCTGGGAGTGCTCCCAGGCCGAGGGGAAAAGGCCTTCACCTGAGCTCCCCGCAGCCGTCGGAAGAGATGGTGCCAGCACCCGCCCTGCCAGCCTGAGTCACCCTGACCACTGCGTGCTCCTGGCTGACTCACCACTGGGCGCCCTTTACTAAGCTTCCACCTGCAGCTGTTTCTTCCCCTTTTCCTCCTCTGTGCCTGAAGTTCCCCATTTCCAAATCCTTCCTTCCCAGAAAATGTGAATTCTTCTCTTCGTATTGTGGAAGAAAGCTGTGGCCCTCTATCTCTGACTTGAGACCACCCTGTCCCACCCACCTGAAAAGCAGGGGGTTCTGTCTAACTTGCCAGTTGTATCATTTGTCGAATTCATCCCAAAGGCAACCAGGTTTCCCCGTTTTCTAACCTAGGCTGGTCCCCAGGGCTGTCTCCCTCCCAGGGAGAGGCTAGAACTCTCCTGGGAAAGAGACTTGACCCTAATTCGAACCAGCAAATTGGGTCTGTCTTCTCTGCATTTCTCCCCCGAGTTGCGTTGGACGAAGCTGGCGCTGTAATCACACTGGCCGCTGGGAGCCGGGCCGGCTGTGGTACGAGCCTGATGGAAAGCCGTGTGGGAGGGTGAAGGTCAGGTGTAAGCAAGCAGGGGTGGGGACCACGCTGACCCCGGGTTTACGGGGCTCTGAGTCAGGGCTTCCGCGCCTCCCCGAGCCCCAGAGCCATGATGCCACCTGTCCCAATCCACACAGCACACGGAGGCTACAGCAGGTCCCTGGTGTGGGACGAGCAGCGACACTTCTGAGCATGACTCAGTCGTTGCCCAATGAAGCAGCTGGAAACCAGCGAAGATAAAACCCAAAGCACGACGCTCCTTGTGACAAAGGGGACAGAGAGGGTTAGCTGGAGTTATGCTGCAGCCACGTCCTAGAAGAGCGCATCAACCTCCTTTGCACGGACAGGCCTGCTGTCGCTCAGCCAGCCACCTTCTAAGCTACCATCTCCAGCCCAGGGGGAAATGCACAAAGATAAATGTGACACCCCATTTCAAACCCCAATCGAAGCCTACAGAACGTCTTTAAAAGGGCATGGTGGGAACTCAAGCTTTTCTGCAAAAATTTGCTACCGTTGAGAGAGATTGGAAAGGATGGCCCAAGGTTTTTAAAAGCGTTTTAATGTTGAACTTTTAAAAAATTGCACTTTATCAAGAAGCAATTGACCCAAACATTCAAGTCTCTTCTAGGTGCTTTCAGATTCGTGTAAGGGAGTAAGCGGTCATGGCAGTCTCGGGAAGGGCTTCACAATGGAATCTGTGAAAAAAGCCTTTTCCAAATGGGCTTATCCAAAAGCATGCTTGGCAGTGACCAAGACCAAGGTGGCCTGCAAAATGGATTTTTTTTCGCAGGGAGAGCGAGCCTAGGAATTATCCCAGTTTTATGACCGGAGCGTATTGTGGTTATTTTATTCTCCCCACCCACCCATGATTATAAGCTGGGGCTGGGCTGGAAACCTTGGAAGGTCCTGACCATGAAGAGCTAATACCCTGTCGCCTGCCAGGGCTGGATGCCAAATTCAAAGGGCCTTCAAAATGTCAGACCAATGTGCTCTGCAGTTCAGATACTCAAAGGGGGTGAGCTGTTGGGTGAGCCCCGGATGAAAAGATGGCAGAACTGGACTGGTTTATAAACAGAACACTCATTTGGAATCCTCAAATTAGATGCTTGCTTGTAAAGTTTATTGACAACTGTTTGGTCCCAACACACAAAACAGCACTTGAACCACAAAAAAAGTGATCAAACAAAGTAGACAGTTAAGAAAAACATCTCTTCCCCCCAAGCCCAATCCAAAACTAACAGTGCAAGATGGGAAAGGGGGTTTTGGTGATAACTTCTTTTTTTTTTAAACAGATAAACCTAACCTGGTACATCTTTCCACCCAGAAATAAAGAATTTCATTGTCTTAATTCTCATACATTATTTCATCATATCATTTAATTAAGCCTCTGGATAAAAAAATAGATAGCGATTGGACTGGCCACTGTGGAGTATTATACATTACGAACACGAGCTCCCGCTGTATTCTGTCTTCAAACAGCGACTGTTACAGAGTCACACATGCCTCCCAGGCTGACTGGCAACTCCAGCAAATAGTGCAACCACACTCACACGACAGCACACAATTTCGGTCTCTTTGCCACCCAGAGAAGCTGTTCTTTGAGACTGCTCCCAGTGACTTGTAATGGTACCTCTTACATTTTTAAAGTCCACAATTCTTTACATGCGAGCAACACTAAAGTTCACGTGTGCAAACTCAGCCTTATGAAATCTCAGAATAAGGCCACTGATGTTCTCAACACCAACTACATTACACGGTTTAAAAGCTTCTTTAAAAAAAAAAGTGCACGTTTGCATCGTCCTTCGTCTCACTATGTCTGTAGAGGAAATGCCTTCAGAGAGATTGGCAGAGTGCCATCATGCTTGGAAGGCTTTTTCATCTTGACTGGGGCCATGTGCTGAGAACTAGGAATCACTGGCTTCATTTAAAAGATTTGGGGAACAAAAATCTAACTTGTAAAAATCTCTCGATAGCCCTTATTTTGTGGCATTTTATCAAAATGCTGGCTATGAAATCGGAGCCCATTTTCTGGCTTTCTAGAAATTACAAACTATAAACATTTTCCCCGAAGAAACCATCTAACTAGTGGAAGACCTGCCAACAGGTTCTGCTCTGTGAATGAATCCGCCTTTTTGCCCAACAGATACAACCCATTGTAAATGCTGGGTTTCTCCAGGAGGGGTGAGAGGCCACCCATCCCCGGATGCCTCGGCCCCTCGGGGCGAAGGTCATTCCACAGGGCAGTGCTCCCTCAAAGGCTGGCTTTTCCCCAACGCCAACATCAGACTCCACAACCATCCTGGACGTGCTTCCAACAGCGAGAAGTAACAGAGTAAAAGCAGACACTATTAAAAGACACACAAACACATGCTCACACAGAAAGCTTCCCAGCTACCAAAACCAGCAATTAAAATGACAAAAACAAGGTTAAGTCGATCAACCTTGGCCTTCATATGTACGGATAGAATTTCTGTGTCTTCCTTGTGGAAAGAGTATCGATACCGCCCCTGTTAAAGCTCCTCACCCCTCAGCTCTGATTTGTAATTTATGCATTTGATGCATAGTTTAGAAAATCAGACCCTCTTCCCAACATCGCCTCTCAACACACAATAATGTGTGCCTGAATTCAAATGCTGACTTCAAATTCACAACACCAAGACCATTCCTCTTCCTTAACCTGATGCATACCAAACTGGAACTGAACATAAAAGGGAAGCTTAAAACATCCTCAACTTTCTAGAAAGCTCCTAAATGGAACCCCAAAGTGGGCACATTTAAAAGATTTTGTAATGAAGCCACTCTTGTCGACTACAGACATAGTTAAATAAAAATCAAGGCACGCTTACAAGTCACGTGGGAGCCAGGAAACCTTCACATCCGACCTGAAAATACATTCTCGCTCCCTGGCCCACCTTCTCCTTCGGTGTGTGAACACGCCGAGTCACTGACCAGGCTTTGCTTCAAGTCACGTCATGCAAACGATAATACTGTCTGAAAACATCAGTAAGCAAAGGCTTCGAGACTAAATTACGCTACATGTGGGATCATACCACCGAGGTGGCTTAATGGGGACTAGGACCACTCCCTTCCAGCCAAGCGCTCACTGCTTTCTGCACATGGAATACTGCTCTAGTTCAGAATTTTTTTTTTTTTTTTGGTAGAGGGCAGTGTCACTGGCCCTCACATGTGGGATCCGAACCGGGGCCCTCTGGCATCCCAAGCCAGTTCTTAACCATCGCGCCACTTGGCCGGCCCTCTAGTTCAGAATTTTTAAAAATTTGGTAAAATACATTAAGGATTCTTTAACAAATGCCAGAATTTTGTTTCGTTTTCTTGCAAATAATTGGGGGAGGGGCAAAAAACGAAAAACTTCAGCTCAAAGCTGTGTTCAATGTAAAAGAAACAAAACGTATGGAGCACATCTAACCGTGAAGGAAGTGGCTTCTAGGGGTGTCCACGAAAAACAGCGAAGGCTGTGTTTTTGAGCCCACTTTTGTGTGCAGAATCAAGACAGCGTTTTCCCATCCTAATTCTAGGTTCAGATTGAATCAAAGCTTGGTTATAGGCGCAAAGGAGAAGTTGGCTGCCAATTTTACTCTATTTTTGGGTTGCTTTTTGGCTGGGCTTTCCACAGGGTCTTTGCGGAGCTGCAACTCGGAGGCTTCCGAGGAGGGGCAGGGAGGCAGGCGGACAGCAGCTGCAATGCCAGGTGAGCTGGAGACAGAGGTCGGCTTTTCGTTATTTACTGGAATTTCAATGTTCTCTTCTTGGCTTAAAATCATAATGTCTGTAAACACAGGAAAGCAAACAGATTCAGTTCTAGGACTTGCCAGAAGTGTTGGTTTTCAACACTTGTATTTTCTCAAAAAATATTTTAAAAATAGCCCCCCAGCGTCACACCCATGCCACAATTTACATATTAGCTGTGTGACCAATATCATGTGTCACAGTCCAATATTTAGAAACTACATCTTAGCTCTCCCCTGGATTACAAAGTTATAGAGATCTTCATTGTTGGCTACAAATCAATGGGCAATGATTTTAAAACATTGTTCCCCCCACTTTCTCTGCCCATTGCCTCTCTCTGTCAGGTAGGTAGTGAAGGACCCGTACGCCACACGTGACTTAAAGACTTTCACACCAGGAGGGGCCTGAGTATCAGGGAGCCCCAGCCCATACCATCGACAGAGCACCTTACTCTGGATAGGTCTAAGGTGAGGGTGGAGAGCGAGGGGAGGGTTGCACAGAGTCAAAACTGCCCTTGAAAACCCCAAAGTCCAACACAGCTGGTTCTCCTGCAGGGTCACAGGCTGCTCTTTTCGAGCTGAGCCACAAGAGCCTGCTGTATAGAGAGCCATGTTGCTTGACAGACATGTACTATTATACCTTAGACTCCCACTGCACGTGCAAGGGGCTCCTGCACAGAAAGCACATAGAAGGTGAGTGACCGAGGGGACGGCAGAGCCCCAGCTCCCTTTTCAGGCTGACACTTGCTGAGAGGATGACAGACAGAACTGCCCAAACCATTAAATCATTTTCTCTCTCTTGTCACATGTATGGCTGAACTCATGTATATTAAATGCACCAAGGCTGCAGCCCCACGGAAGAGTTAATATCAAGCTCCCACCAGCTCTAGCTGGTCACCCCACTGTCCATCACAGGCTAGACCTTCCAGTATCAGAAGCCAGGGGTACGGTTCCCCGTACCCTACTTCCCAGATAACTAGCTTCAGTTCTTTCACTGGGCCACAGTGCCGAATGCTGCTTAAGACGACTAAGGGCTGTGAAAATCCACCCAGTGGTCAGGAGGCTGTCTGTGATCTCCTGGAAAGCGGCATCAGCAGCGTGGGGAAGGACTGGTTACCACAGACGAAGACGACATGGGAGGGACCTGGACAGAGCAGGTGGCCCATCCTCTCAGGAGGGCAGCTGATGCCACAGAAAGACAAGAGGCCCTGAGTGCAAATCCTGACTGCTAATTCCTACTCAGGCAGCCTAGAGCCAGACTCATCGCTAGTTATGACACAAGCGATGCCACCCAACCTGCAGGGCTGTGGCGAGAATTAGGTGTGACCGAGTCTGCCAGCCCCGAGCACAGTGTGAGCGCTGAGCCAAGCCAGCAGGACAGGACGTCAGCGTTCAACGTGGTCGGCTCCTTCCTCCTCCTCAGATCACTGCCCAGAGCCTGGGGTGCAGGAACAGACACCCCCTCCCGCCCCTACTCAGACTCTCCTAAGGCCCCGAAACCCCTGGGCCAGACCAGAGGTGACGTGTATGTTTGGTGACAAGTGCGCCTCCTTTAGGTCCCACCTATAAAACCATCCCTCGAGACCCACCATCGTTCCCTTGCTTGCTCCCCAAACCACTTCAGGTTGTGAGCCCCACTGTGGAGGAACCTTGACAGGAAGAGGGTCCTGAATAGTCAGCACAGGTATTTTGTGCCCCAAAAGGTAGCGCTGCTTCCCGCCTCTATCAAATGATTAATATGTTGGCAGCACCATTTTATTTTTAAGCCCACAGGGAGAAGCGCACGACAACACAGGCGCATCCTACCGGAAGCCTCCTGTGGGTGTTCCTCAAATTGAATGAGATCAGCAGACTGGAGTATGACAGGGTCTGGTGTCAGCTGAGGGGACGGCAGGCAGGAGGGGACGGGGGCACACAGGAGGTCCACAGGAGACTGGTTGGTCAGGCGGAGGAGCTCGTGCTCCGTTGGACATGGCCCTGGACAGAGAAGGCAGAGACTGCTCAGGCCGCCGTCTACAGGGGTCTGCGCCTCAGGCTTTCTTTCGAAGCCTTAAAGATGAAAAGTTTGAGGAAATACTCAGGAATTCAAGGTTAAACATAAACCACTAACAGAATGATCTGGATCTGTCTTTGGTAAGTGAAATGCCACAAGCCAGGATCCCCCCCAGGCCCCACCTGAGGAAAAGGGTTCCCCAGTCAGCTTCCAAAGAGGGGAGACAAGAAACCCTGAGAAGGGGTCTAACATAGTTAAAGGAGCAAGCTCAGCATTACAGGTCCTGGGTCCGAGGTCTGTCACTTCCTAGCTACTTAACCCCCCAGACCTTCACTTCCTCATTTGTCAAGCACGAATGCCTACTGCTGAAGGTGTGGTGACAGCTGAGGGAGATAGGTGACAGGTGCTTCATAAAATGTAAAAAGCTGCAAAACTGAGTTATAAACACAGAACACAGAGCAGTTAACTATCTAGCAACGTGCAGAGTCCTATGAAGATAAAATTCTCATACATCGCAGTGGGTTCGAAAATCTTTCAATGACGTTAAAATTGCTGTAGAATTCAAGCAAGTTGATGTCTATCTCCAGAGATGGTTCCACATAAAATCTAAGTGACTTGATACTGTTTTGACTAATACTAATGAGTTACTAGCAAGTCTTTCCCAGGAATGTCCTATGACAGAGACTGTCCTTGACCCAGCTTGAGTCGGGCTCCTCTGACCCCTCTTCTCCACTAGACCTTGGCGTTCTGTCTGTCCTGTCCTTGCCGAGTCCAGTCTTAGCAAGAATCTTGGGAAGTCAGTTTATGGAGAACCCCCCAGCCATGCTCTCTGATCCAGATCCCCACCCCACAGCCCTGAGGTCTAAGTCCGCTGCCTGCCTTTAGCGAGGATCCTTTTAGGTCGCTTCCGCTAGAACCCCCACCCTATGTCTCCTCTGGGTAATTTTCCGTCTGCTGACGCCCTCACTTTGCTCCTTGACCTTAAACCCCTACTTGGCCCTGTTGTATTCAGAGCTGATTTCTCTCTGTCTCCCAGTCGAGTGGACCCTACTGCCAACCGTCTTGAAACTCTGTTTTAACAAGGGTCAGACTAACTTCTCCCTATAACCTCTGAATTGGGTTCACCATTGTCATTTTGGGGGTGTCAACATCCTTTAAGAACCTTAACCAGTCAACCATAGAACGCTGTCAAATGCAGGCCAGTTTTTTTTTCTATTTTTAACTAACTATCAGACTGCTTTGAAAACTGTATGAACACTTAACTTTAACTAATGAAAATAACCCACGGATGCGCGCCCCCCAAGCCGCCCCTGCCCCACTCCAAGCCATTTCTGCTAGCACTTCACCGGCTTCGCTTTGTTTCTCCCCTCTTACCATCACCACCTGCTCCCAGCGTGAGTCCCAAGGCCGGGTAAGAGTCGGGCACCTCCAGGAGGGGCTCGGGAGCTGAGGGCTGGTGCTCATGACTGGCGGGGGAGAGCCGACCTGGAGGACAAAGCGCCGTCAGAGGCAGACGTCCACGAGAGGAGCGGGGCTTCTGGGGCGGGCAGGGGTGGGCGCTTACTTACTTTTCATGTCGTTTTTTAACACTACAATCCTCTTATGACCATGTCCTTTTATCCAAACCACCTGCACACAAGACATGTTTCTGGTTAAGCAATGGTAAAAGAGGGGACATGCGCCCTAAAATTCAGGTAGGATGTGACCTACTGAGTCTGCTTTCAACATTCTAGAATGTAGAAGCTGAATTAATGCCAGGAAAAAAAAAGTCTATATTCTTTCTTTACCCTTTAAAGCAACAACAGAGGCTGGCAGAAACATGTCCCTTATAAAATGCCGTGTAGTCTACAAGTCCTGAGACTCAGCTTTAGAAATATTCTTTATGGCTCTTAAAAAAAGACCGTCTCCCAACACCAGTTCTAGTCTATAAATGAAGACAGTTCTCACGTGAGAGCCCTTACTGTTTTTTCCAGAAACTAAACACACCCCAAAGAATTCACGGAGCTCCCCCAGACCCTTCACACTGAGCTCGTCCTCCTAAACCTTAAACCAAGTCCTCTACGGAATGGCGCTGCTCTCCGCCTCCTCAGCCCGGGGCTGGGTCCTGGCGCTTCCGCACCCGTCTGTCACCAAGTCCCCAACCTCAGCCCCGTGCGCCCTGAACTACTTCCTCCGTTATTTCCACTCAGGTTCCATCCCTTCTGCACTCTCACCGACCTCGGCAATGGCCAGGCTCCCAGCCTTCCTCTCCTATTTCCCTCAGCTCTACCATGATCAGCAGTGACGGGGGTGCTTTTCACACGCAAACCTCAGGCTCCTCCCCGCTCCTTACCTGGAGGAGCAAAGCCGCCCATCACTGAGCTTTTACCTCACTGTCAAGCTCCAGCACGGTTTTTAATGTCACTTGTCACTGCTCTGCATCTGCTCACGCCGTCCCCTCTCCCCAGACCCCCCCTCTCCCCTCTTCACCCCATGGCCGACTCCTACACATCCCTGACGCTCTACCCCGGGAGCCCCGAGCGCCTGGGAATGGGCCCTGCCCACTGCTGGCTGCACTGACACGGACGCATTACCACCTGCTCAGGTGTGCGCCTCTCCATTACCTGACACCTTTCTGAGGCCAGGGCCAGGCTCACTTGGCATACAGGGAAGGAATAAGGGTTTGCAGAAGGAAGGAGAAACGCTAAAACCATTCATTTCATGCAAACCGTATGTTCGGAGAGGCTGTGTTCCCAGGCCGGCCACTTCCTCACTCTGTTCAGGACAGCGAGCCTCTCCAGGAAGACACCCAGCGACAGCGAGCCTCTCCAGGAAGACACCCACCTGTGGGATCGCTCCCAGGAGCTCCTCCACACTGCTGTAGCCGTACGCTTTGGGTTGCAGTGCTTCGCCGACATACTTGGTATAGGCCGTGGAAAATTCGTGAAGGAAAAGCTGCTGGTAGTGGTAAGTGTGAAGTAAAGACCGCACGTTCTTGGCAAACAAGTACAGACTCGTGAGCCTCACACACTCTTCTGTCTTGTCATTAGTGAAAACCTGGTCAGGAGGAAACGCAGCATTAGACACTCCCAGTGACAGGCCCTGCCCTCCGCAAGTGAGGGCCTCCAGCTGAGAGTGGCACGGTGCCAGGTCCACCTGAACACGGACAAGGAGCCGAGGAGGAGGAGGAAGGATTCACTCAAGGGCCTCCTCCAAGAGAAAGCCGGAGCCGGGAGCAAACCGAGTGCTATCTGCAAGTCTAAGAGGACAGCGGTCTGGAGAAATCGTTCATCAGAAAGGAAGGAAGCTGCCAAACCTGGGATCCAAACGAAACAGGCAGCGAAGAGGGGAGGCAAAGCCCTAGAGGGAGAGCGGCCTCAGGCCTGAGGACCGAGCCCACTGAGCGTCATCTCCCAGAGTGGTGTTCTGACGAGCCCTGTGACGCTGAAGGACAACACTGGCGTTCGTAAAAAAAATATGAAAACCCCAACAAAAGCAATAAGGGAAAAAACCCCAAAGCTCTTTTGTCCTCAAGTAAACTGGCAAATTGCTTTACCATAAACCTTTTCAGAGTCTTCACTGTGCAGTGAGAATCTGTAAGAGACGGGGTGTTTCCCAGCCTCAGCCGGCCACGGGCCAGCCTTCTGTCCTGCACATCCCTCACTGCCTAGGACTAGTGTTTACATAACAGATGATTTACAGAGCTTAGAAAATGTTGGATTTGATATTCTGAAAGAAAGCCAGAGATGGGCAGTAGTTAAGGAGGTAAAAATCAATTTGATTTAGGAACTATCGCAATACGGGAAGAGGAGTAACCTTAGTATAGAACTGGGCTCAACTCCGAATACAGCTGACCCTTGAACAACTCGGGTTCAAACTGTGCATGTCCACTTGTATGTGGATTTTTTTCAATAAATACCTGTACTGTTTTTGATCTGTGGTTGGAAGTCCACAGATGCAGAAGGCCACTTTACACAGGGGACTTGAGCTGATCTGTGGATTTTGGTGTCTTGGGGGGTATCCTGGAACAAATCTCCTGTGGACACCAAGGGACAATTAAGATTTTGGGGAATCGGGCCGGCCGAGTGGCGCGATGGTTAAGAGCTGGCTTGGGATGCCAGAGGACGCCGGTTCGGATCCCACATATGAGGGCCAGTGACACTGCCCTCCATAGCTAAGATGCTAAACAACAGCTCAACCTGGAGCTGGGCTGCCGTGAGTCGCCGGCGACGGCGTAGGCTGCAGCCCCTGCTGCAGTGGGTTGCCATGGGCTACCGTGTGTAGCCAGCAGCCACCGTGAGCGGCCAGCAGCCGCCATGAGCAGCTGTCCAGAAGCCGGCGACTGATCTGCCTCGCCCAGGAAGAGCGCAATGATGGTGCCAACTTGGGCCAGTGAAGCAATGTCCTCCACAACTAGACTGAAGAACAAAAGGACAGCAACTTGTCTGTTCCCCTTCCCCTAATTCCCCAGCGCTGTTCCCATCCCCCAATTCCCCAATAAAAATCTTAAAAAAAAATATTTTGGGGAATCAAAGTTATATGTTGATTTTCAACTGCTCGAGGCATTGATGCCCCTAACCCCTGCGTTGTTCAAGGGTCAGCCCACAACACATAAAAATGGGGATGTATAGCCAAGGGGGGATGGAGGATGTTGGCGGATGGAAAACTCCTAAGATATCCACTACTAACTGACATTCAATGCCGAGGTCTAGTCTAGAAGGCTCAGGGGAGCCTGACTAATGTTTTGTATCTTTTACCTATTTAGTTACCAATCACATGGTTACATGAGAACAACAGTATATCATTCTTTCCTTACATTGCTGGATTTTATGGGTTAACATCTTATTTAGAATCATTTCCTTTTGGGGACTATACTGGGTTTTTGGTACTCGAGCTATTCTGGCTTTATAAAATGAAGTAGTGAGCTCTGCCTCTTTTTTTAAGTGGCCTAGAATGGTTTTTAAGAACTTGGGAGTTATCTGTTCTTTAAGGGTTATTTGAAACCCACTGTTAACCCATCTGGTCCTGGTGCCTTTTTCAGTGCTAAAAGTTCAATGCTCTTTAATGTCTCCTTTGTGGTAATCGGTCTAATGTTTACCTTCTTGAGTCAGTTTTGGTAAGTTTTCTCTAGGACCTCATCTATTTCTGTAATATTCTCTTCCGAGTCTTCTAATCTTAAAGTGCCGTTCTTGAAAGGCTACCTGGGTGGCCAGCCAGCCAGTCTTCCTTTCTGACCTGTATCTGGCTGGTGTCACATGAAACCCCCCCCTTCAAAATTCCTCTAATTCAGAAAGAGGTAATAACAGTAGCAAAATCAGGCCTGGTGTTGGACGAAAGCACCCCAGTTCAAGAATCCGGTGGCCAGGGCTTCTGTCCTGGCTTGTCACTCATTTGGGCAGGGTGCCTGCTCCTGCCTATACCTCGGTTTCTTCAACTAGAAAATAACCGATTGGTCCCCTCCAGCTCTGCACCCTCTAACCTAGACCACAAGGCAACCCAGAAATACCTAATTCAACGTCAGCACTCGTACCTCAACTAAGTAAGGCAGACTCTTCAGAAGTTCGGTCAAGGTCATGAATCCATATTCACGGGGGTTGAGAGGAGTGCTGTGGGTAGCTTCGTAATGTCTCCCGAACTCATCGACAGAAAGACAGGTGGCCCCTTCCCAAGACATCAGCAGTACCAGCAGCTGGGCGGTGAGTGCGCGCAGGGACTTGCGGTTGACCAGCTGGATCTGTTTGCCAGACTCCATGTCAGCAACCTGGGGAAGCAAGAACTCGCACTCATCCCAGCTCAAAGCACAAACCAGGTCACACCCAGCTCAGCTCATTTCATTCTGGCTCATGAGACCACGGGGGGAAAATCTCTCCTTTCTCTTAAACTGCAGTCGAGAGAGTGGGCTTGCTTTCAGCTTCTTGGGGACACCAGACTAACACTTCAGGTGAGCCTGGAGCGGAAACAAAACGCTGTTTACCTTTACAACATGGCAAAGTTTCTGTGTTAAAGCTGAGACCGAGCTGACATCATAGTCTTGGAGACGAAACGTGTAACCAAAAGTTTTGGCGTATTCTGTGAGCAGATCTGTCATCATAAGGCAGTTATCTTTCTGGGACCGGAGGAGCTTAACAAACTGGGCAGCTAGAGCTTTGAATCGTTCTACCTCTGTCAACGTGAGGATTTTTTCTTCTCCACATTCCAGTACCTGGGAAAACACATAGATAATGAACCAACAACACAGATTCTCTGATAGAAATATTTCAAAGTTTCATCCTATTTTATAACTCCCTACTTCTCAGGAAAAAAAAAATTTCCCCAGATATTGTTCAGAAAAATACACTTGCTTTACTTACTTGTAGAATATCAGGTATGGCTTCAAAAAGTTCAAGTAGTTTGGTAAACCCATAGTATGCAAGTTTGCACTGCCGGCCAAAGTGGTGATGATAGGAAGGGATAAATTTATTGAAGGGCATCCGGAAATGGGGCTGGTGCCTCAGCAGATCCACAACATCCCGGGAGAACTGCTTTGTCCTTTCTATTTCATCCTGGGTACGTTCTTAAAAAACAACAACAGAAAGCAGAAATCACCATCTCCTCCTCATCTGTGTTTCAGATTATTACTGTAGTCAATCCGATGCACAGATTATAACAGACATCACCTTTGCCTTCCAGACACACACACTCTTCTCTTTTTTATTTTTTAAAGAAATTTTATTGGGGAACAGTGTGTTTTTCCAGGACCCATCAGTCAAGTAGTTGTCTTCAGTCTAGTTGTGGAGGGCGCAGCTCCTTGGCCCATGTGGGGATCGAACTGACAACCAATCGAGCCTGTGCTCTAACCACCTGAGCTAACCAGCCACCCCACGCTGCTTCTCTTTGCTGATGGTTTCAGCTCGCTCAAGAGCAGAACACCAGGAACTCATGATACTATCATGGTATACAGTGAAATACACATACACACTTAGGTAATCTTATAAACTAGATATGATTTCTCTAGCTCTCCCCCTCCCCACCCGTCTCCCACCCCGTATGTGAACATGATACACACAGACAACTCTCAACTGGATAATTTTGGTGTAAACAGCCACAGACAGGCTGGAGAGTCATTTTAAGAAAATACCGGTCATATCCTTTCCCCCTTTATAGAGTGAATTCTTCAAAACTAGCTTGCTTTTCTTCTCAACAAGTGGCTTCACCTACTTTGAAGGACCCAGGATCCACTGCAGAGCAGAGCAGTCTTCACACTGTACTTGGCATGGAATCTTCGGGAACCACAGAGGACAGAAATGCATCCCTTGTGTGGTGCCATGTTCAGATAACCCAAGACAGACTGCTTTCTGCCAGTGGATCCCAAAGCACATACCTCTCTTGGGCATACAAATCACCGTTTCGTTCTCTTGCTGGGACAAGCAGATGGTTGTGTCTGGGATCTCCGACAGGATATCCATCAACTCACAGACCCCATATTCGGTGACTTTCCAGTCCTTTGAGAAACACCTAGATTTCAACCATGGAAACAGGGAAAGAATGAGACTTGTCAAAATAACTAAGTTTTCCAAAAGAATGCTACATAGGAAAGTTAAATAATTACTTAAACTTGGAAGGAAGAAAAACTATTTTAACATTTTTGCTTCCATTTTTTTTTCCTTCTTCTCATCAACTCACCAGTGATAAGCCTGCGAGAATTCTCTCACAATGACCTGTTTGCTGGCCTGGGATTTGAGAAGTTTTAGTAAGTCCTGAGTGAAGCGCTTCACCTGGGCCCTGTGTGTGAGGGTCAACAAACGTTTGGAGCCCATTCCGAGAATCTGCAAATCAAACACTTGGATTATTTCTACTCGTAAGGCCTTGGCGGATACTGCCTTTCTGGCTGCTGGCTCTTCTCTCTCCTGTTACTGGAGAGAAAGTTGTTCTCCCTTTAGTGTGAGATCTGAATCCTGCCACACAGGTGCATCGACAAACCATAAAGGCTCAAAATGAACCACCGCTCAGGTGCCCAGGACCCTTTCTTTCTTTTGCCCTGCACACCCTTCCCAAATAGTCACAGGTATAGAAATGAAAAGCATATTGTCAGCTCAGGTGAATAATTTTGTCTCTAATAGATATCTGAAGCTTTTCAGGCCATTTTTACAAGTGGGACGCTGTTTTACAGATAGGAAGCCATTGTAACTATAAATTAACAGGCAAAGACTTGTTAGAAACCCACACAAGCTCCAGCCCAGTAACTGGTCTGCAATTCATTTATAAGAAAGGTAAGCCCATGCCCAGGGCAGCTCCCATGGAATAATGAACAGCTGCGGAGAGGAAGGGCCGTCTACAGAGATTGGAAGGAAAATGCCCCTCAGAGTTCCATGGAGTTCCTTTCAGTTAGCTCAGAGCCACCCTGTGTGTGTTTTCTGCACGACAAAGAAAGCTTGTGCAGGACGTTTTGCTCTCAGGTGACTTCTTCGGAATTAGTTAGGTTACCAGCTATCCTGTTTGTTTGGCTGAGGTGGCCAGAGCCAGGGAGGAGCACCCCTATCTTTACACAGTAACCCCCTCACATTCCTTACCTGCAGCACATGAGGCACTGCCTCTAATAACTCAATCAGCTTGGAATATCCATAGTCTGATACCCGGCATTGCTTGGCAAAATGGTGGTGATAGGACGGGATGAAGTTGCTAATTGGTATGACACAGGATGGTTGGCTCTTCAGTAAGTCAATCACTTCTCTACTGAACTGGATCAGCTGGGGGTTACCTACGGGACTTTTAGAACGCAGAAGCCAAGGGTCTAGAGAGTAGGGAGAAAAAAGAACAGGTGGTAAGACATACAGCATGACTTCATCAGCGGAAATACAGATCACTAACCTTGACTTCTTCAGTGGAGCTCAACTGTGACCAACCAGATGAGAACAAACAGCCACTTTACTTCTTGGCCTCTCTGCTCAGGTCCCATATAATGAACAAGCGAGCCCCCCTCATTTATGGGCTTTCCCATTGCCTCTCAGAGTCAAGTAGCCAAAGTAAAGCATCATTCACCAGGTTTAACTGAAAGCAGAAGTGAAAATACACAGGAAGCTTCCCGCTTATAAACCGGTTGTATTTCAAAGATCCATTTGTAATTTGGTCCCATGGAACATACGCTCCTACAGAAGCAAAATTCTAAATGGTCTTCAAGCAGGTAGCGCAGAAGCGCCTAATTAACCCACAGAGCATCTGAAAACATTGCCCAAGAAAACCATGGAAAGCAATGCAAGGCTAGCATGATATAAAACTAAGAAACTGGTTTTCACATTTATGTCGAACATTCATATAATTAAGAAGTTTTAACAGCATAATATACAGGACCCAGAGTCGTCTGGGACTGAGGGGAAGGGCAGCGGGAGGTGGATAAGAGGCTTTGGTACAAAGAGAGCTCCCTGGTCATCACACCTTTCCTCCTGTAGGGCAGGGGGAGGAGGGAGAGGAAAGGAGGATGTGTTGGGGGCCAAAGAGAAGGCAGTGGAGGTATGAAGGCAGTACTGTGAAGTGCTGTTCACAGGGAGCAGGATTAGACAGCTGCAACTCGGGCATGCCCAAAACTCAGAAAGTCACCCAACTCCAGGTTCAGATGTCCTGGGCTTTTAAAGTTAAATCTGTTTGCACATTTATCAAAGTCAGAAACATCGACTAAAATGAATTTCAAAGGTAAATCTGCATTCAGAGTTATTTCCTTCAAATATTTGAAACTACTTTTTAAACGCCAGTCAATGGCCAAGTCGCAAAGCTTCACAAAATCATGGAGCTGGAGAGATTTGTAACTGCAGAATTTGGGTTTTAAGTGTTTTCCATAATTTATGCTGGTACTTTGAAAGAATCTAGTTCTGCCAAACCTTTGCACTTGAGAGAGTAGTTTTTAGATGAAAAGAGACACCCGTGGTGCTTTCTGCTTGGCCAACGGTGCTGCTGCTCAAGGCAACAGCCAACAGCCTCTTCTCACCTGGATGGAGGCCCGAGAGTACCAAACCCCTGACACCTACCTGTGTTTGGAGGTGGGGGCTTGTTGTGAATCCACTTCACTACTTTGACGCCATTCTGTGCAGTGGCAATGCTGACACCTGGAACACAGGTGATGAGGTGTTCTAAGGGAACCCCGTCCCCTCGGTTTTCATGCATGACTTCCAGTTCGCCAAACTCTGCGGTGTAACAATCTGGAAAGCTGAAGTGAGAACAAAGGTAATGAAAACAATGGGACAGCAGAGCACCTGCTAAACAGAGGTCTTTATTTTAATGTATCCATTAATAAACACTTCACTTAAATGCCCACAATCTGAGTTTGGAGTGAAACTTCAAGTCCCAGGGAGTCAATCCCTGTGGGATTTGCCTCCTGATGCATTCTGGCGGTATTAGGAATCCCTGGACAATTTTCCAGCAGAGGGAGCTAAAAATAAGGCACATGGATTCCAAGGGAGTTATTTTTCTGCTTCAGTGTTATCGCAGGCCTTGAGGCAACTCAGTCTGTGCTGGCCCCTGTTCCGTCATCTACCAGATGGTCATAGTGTGGTGATGGGACTCACTCAAATTCTGCAATCTACAACTCTTTGAGGTTGCATACACCTCCTTGTGCACACTTCTTGTGCACACTTATGCACACTCCTATTACAGCCCTTAGAATAACCTCTTCTTCGTGGAGAGGAAACTGTCCTATTCATGGTTTTGTTTAAAAAATTCAGCACAAACAGAAATGTTTTTGTTGAAATACTGAGTGAATGGGTCCATTTCAGATATATTTTAACTGGCGGCAAGGCTGAAGACGTTAGGATGAAGCATTCTACGATACTTGCTTGGGGAGAGGTGTGGACAGACAGGGCAGGCTTCTGGAAGGAGCGCTACGGCATAACACCACAATGGCTTTGACACACTCACCTTAATAAAGGTACGGTGCCCTCGTGTGTCTGCAACAGACTGTGAACCTGGGGTGCAAACGTCTTCAGAGAGAGGATCACAAAAGGAATCCTATAACAGTCTGGATCAAACTCATGTTCACTGCAGGAAAGAGGACAAAATGGTCTGCTGACATTTCCTAGTGGTCTAAAATGTTAGCAAGGTGATGTTGAATAATACTGTATGTCAGCTACAATTATATACACATATAGCCACAGGATGTGGAGTGTGGGAATGGAGTCAATGGAATTGTAATAGATAAGTATGACATCGGGTGTGGGAGGGCAGTGGATAGGGGGAGGGGGGTTGTTACTTTGTGAGGGGTGAAAAGGATAATTATTGCATTGTTCTGTACACATGAAACTAATTAAAAAAAATTTAAAAATGTTAGCAAGGTAATTCTGACAGATATTCCGCGACCGTATACGAAAGGATTTTTTCTAAAGGGAAATGGGCAATCTACCTGAAATCCTTATTGGAACAATGCTGTCTGCAGACAGGCTCATGATATTCTAACTCTTCAAATATAATTGGGCTGCAATTCGTTGAGGAGCCGTCATGTGACTGGGAAGACCCCAGTGGGCTCTGTCGTGCCTGACTGCTGGGTAAGAGACACACCAGTCTTCCATTTCCGTGTTCACGGATCGCGACCGTGTCTGTTAATTTATATAAATCTGACACATTCAACTTGTGTCCAAACCTAAAAGCAAGGAAAAAGAGATGGTGAGATAGAACGTTTTTCTCTAATTCTACAGAAATGCCTGTCCTGTTTACGTAAAAGGCTACAACCAAGAATGGGTGCCTCTGACTCTTAAAAAATAAAACTGGAATAATTCTGCTATGAATTCATTCACTAGGAATCATGGTACCTGCCACTCCTTCGAGGCCAAGGGCTGTGTCTTCCCAGCTCTGCGTCTCCACAGAGCCCTAGCCTGTCGTTCCACTGTCACTAGTTGAGCATCTACTGTGTTGGGTATTAAGACACGCTGTCAGGTCAGACCAGTCATCCTGCAGCTTACAGTTTAGAAGGTGCTCAAAAATGTTCCCTCAGTAAATGATAAAACTAGTCAGACAAAAAAGGGAAGTACAGCTTTGAGGACTGAGGTCTAAATTTGCTAAAAATGGAGGCAGTTGTCCAAATGTATGTTCAAGTTGAAGTTGAAATCTGAACACTCTGTCTTTGTCTCTTTTCCTTCACCAGGTTAGAAGCTCCTTAAGAAATACTATAGCAGTGTTATGCCAATCAGTCATCAATCAGTACTGGAATTCTGGAAGTCACCTATCAGTAATGACAGATCAATGAAAAAAACACACAACTTACTTTTTTTCATAGATATCTGTAAATTTATAAAGAGGGAGACAACAGGCGGGAGCGTCCTGAAGAACAGACATTGTTTCGGCACTGTAAAACAAAGTTTTCATCCATTACAGAACAAACGCTGCTGGAAGTCAACAGATGATTTCCAAGTTGTCGTTTAAAAACAGAGTACATAAAATTTATGAACACAACGTATGTGTAAATATCAGTTTCTGGCACATCAGAATTTATTTTCTAGAAAAACTTAAAGACAGGCTTTTAGGAACAAGGCAATTGAAGGGTATTAAGTCACACGCTGGGATTTTTCTCTGAGTCAAGCATAAGGCTTTCCACACGTGTGATCACAAAGACACTCACTACTCAGTAAGAAAAACACTGTGTTAATTCAGAACAAAAGGCAGAAGAGCGTAAATATCTCCTGCCGCACTGCAGTTCATATGTTAGAGATATAGGAATGGAATTTCTGCTGTTGAGGATAAAAACTGAATATTCAACTATGGTTTTTAAACACAAAAAGCACCAAAAAATACTCAAAGGGAAAACAAAAAGCCAAACTGTTCCGAGTGATTGGCTTTGAGCCATAGGATTATAGATGATTTCTACCCCTTTTGCTTCTTTTGTTTCTAAACTTTCCAAATTTTCTTCATTGAGCATTATTTTTATTCTAGAGGGAAAAAACCCCAGAATTTTAAAAAATGGTGACGTACACGTCAGAGAAACCATCTTTGAGACTCCAAACAGATAGATATTCAGGAGTGAGTCTTGTTATACTAGTACCCACACCGCAGGAAGAGCCAAGGAAGAATCAAAGCTAATTCTGAATAAACCCATCACCAGATCCCTAAGATTGATAGAGTCATAAGAGACTTATGGGGCAGGGTATCTACTTGACATCATGGATATATGTGTAATTGAGAGTGTGGAGCTATGTAGAGCCACCCTTTATAGACCAATTCACCTTCTACTAAGATTTGAAGGTACTATTCCAGACTTTCCAGGTTCATAAACTGTTATTCTTGAGGTCTACTATTTTTAGAAGCTCCCTGAGTATGTGGCATATCATTTCACTCCTAAGTGCCTGCCAAGTTTAGGCTGTACTTCACCTTCGATTAATGACTTGAACATGAATCAAATTATTCTACCTCGTTTATTTCTAACTTATAGCTTATTTCTATGTCTATCAATTCAGAATAAGCATTATTGCATATGAGATCATCACAAGAGGGTTGGGAATGTGACAAAACCTATTTTGATTAGTTACAAAATTGTTTCAGGGCCAAACGTTATTTCCAGAAATAAATGGTTTGCTTGTTTGTTTTTTTTACCTCAGTAAAGAGAGTGATTTATTAGCAGCTCCTGTGGCAAGCGAGACCAGGATTTTCTTGCTGCCAATTTTGTATCTGTGGAGGCTGTTCACCGCACTGATTGCTTCTTGTAAGTTTTCCATCTGAACAACGGCCTTGAGCTGATAATCTGTATGAGGGCTGAGCTCAACACTCTTCACCTACGGCAGAAAAGGAAAACGGAATGCCATGTCTCCCCGGAGCCTGGTCATCTCAAAGCCGAAGGTGAATCACTAAGGGACATATTCGTGAACTTCAGTGACGTGAGGGAACTTGTACGAACTCTGCACTTCTGCCGACCAGATCTGAGTGACCAGGATGGGTGACCTTCGTGGACAGGACACTGGCCTGGACTGCCTGCGTGCTCTGGCACGCACAGCTCTCAGATGCAGGCTCAGAGGCCAACATGAGCAATGGGTCTTTGGGGTCTTCTCTAGACCCAGCAAGAACCTGGGGCATAGCCATTCTAAGAATCTGGAAAAGGTGCTTTTATTTTTTTTTTTTTTAGCAAACTGCACCTAAAAACTGAATCACATATAGTAAGATATTAATAAAAACAGCCAACATTATTTTATAACCCTATTTCTAGATTTTATTTTTTATTTTTTTTATTATTTAAAAAAATTTCTTTATAAGTTTGCAGCAGAGGATAGTTTTATTAGAGGAGGAAGTTACAGCTCTTGAAAGAGAGGGCGTCCCAACGGGGGTCTATTTCTAGATTTTAGCAGCCAGAGTGAACTACTAAAGCCTATCAATGTTGTATTTCCCAAGGTGCCATTTAAATCTGTGCCCATGACCACTAGTGCTTCTCTGCTAGGTTTCCCGCTCTCTGGGGCTGTGTGCCAGAAATTGGATGTGTGGCCCCACCACAAGCAGACCAAAGGCAAAAGGGGAGAGCTCACACTCGTTCAGTGACACCTTTATCCTGGCTGTGGTTATGTGTGTGGAATTAAGTCCTCTCACTTTGAAATGTCAGCAAAGGGTAAAATAAAGGCACGAACAGGAAGAGGTTACCTTGCCATGCCTGGAAAATGCTTCCTGCATGAGCTGCTGCAGCTCCTTCCGGGATAACCTGTAGTCGATGTTGCTGACCTGGATGTCAGCACCGTTTGCAAACGGGTCTGGGCCGTCGGCACCAATGCTCGAAGTTACAACGTTGAAAGCAAGTGGGGATGCTCTGTTTAAAAGGTTTGGAGACATATTCCTGCTTAAAACATACATATCAAGATTATTTTTTAAAGGGCAGCCGGTTAGCTCAGGTGGTTAGAGCGCAATGCTCACAACACCAAGTTGCCGGTTCAATCCCCACATGGGCCACTGAGACGCACCCTCCACAACTAGATTGAAACAACTACTTGACTTGGAGCTGATGGGTCCTGGAAAAACAAACTGTTTCCCAATAAAATTTTTAAAAAAAATTATTTTTAAAAACGCTATTCTGTTTAGTTTGTATCATTTAGGCTTTGAAGCTATACATAGACAGGCCTTGCCACAATACAATCTGGTTTTTAAATGTGTGTTTATCTTAAACATATACTGATTTAGATTTATTGTCAAAAGTATTATCTGTTGATACCGGATAAATGGCCATGAAATTATTTAATATCAAACATTGTTTCACTGGATTATTTAAAGCTAAAAGCAGAAATTAAAGGCAGGCCTGATGAATTAATTTTCTACTTTGGGCATTTATTCTTAGGAAATTAGCTTATGATACCAATGCAAGTCATGTAACCTCCCCTTGGTTTTGGAAAAGCTAGATAATCTTGCTCAGTGTTGCAGTCCTTCTCCCTACAAGGAAAAGTTTTGTGTGAATTTTTACATGTAATTTTACAGGTACAAAGTCACTTTATACAGTGAGTTTTATTCACCGACTCAGAAGAAAACACTGCTGGGAGGAGCTCATAGGATGCAACACGGCCTTATGGCTCCTTCTGTCTTCCAAGCCTCTGGAATTACTCGGTGTGAGTTTCGAAAGCTTAGACCAGGTAAGTGTCATTACAGTGGTTTACAGAGACCCTTCCTTCTCAAACAGCTTCCTATAATTATCCTATGATTAAGAATAACCAATGCATGTCTAGTTTGGGCCTTTTCCTCAACACGATGAAGTGAAGGAAATGGTGAGGACATCTTAACGTGCTACCCCCATCGCTGGGCAGGAACTCCAGGACAAGCTTCTTTCTGACCTCTGCTTACCGATGCCCAAGTGGAGGAAGGGAAGATGGGGAGAGGCACTCCCTCCAAACGTTAGCCAAGATTACCTAAGGGGCTGGCAGAGGAGGGGTGCAAGACTGCTCTTTTACTTCATGTGCTTCTGTATTGCTTGAATCCTTTACGCAAACCTATTATCCTTTCTGTTGCATGTGACCACCCCATGGATCACGAAGTTGGACTTACCGAGATGACCAAGATGGAGATGTGAGCAGAGGACCAACCGGCCTTGATGTGATCAACTTGCTAAAAGCAGATGGGTAACTCACTTGGAACGAAGTCTCCTCTTTGTCTTTTTTCTCCACAGGAGAACTGGTAACACTTCGGGCAGTGAGGTTGTCTTTTCTAATGGAGGGAAAATCAAAGGGAAAAAGGTCATTTGGTTTCCCTCACATTGGAGAAGCAACTATGCGAAAGGGTAATCCAACCTACTTCAGATTGGTTTTGTAAACAGAGTCTGCCATCCCGGAGTTTTTCGGTACAGGTGCTATAGCACTCGAGTTTCTGTGAGGAGGTGCCACCAGTCTCAGGTTACCCTGCTGGGGCTCGCTGTTCCTCGTGCCAGTCTTTGGCTCCACGCGGCACAGCTCCTTAAAAGAGACAAGTGCAGTGGCATTTACAATTTAAGTACACAAGGTGTGTTAGACCCAGCACAGGAACCACTTGACTTTGAGTACCATCAAAAACGGAAGTAAAGGGGGGACATACCAAAAGCAAACAGGCGCACAAAACACAGGGATCAAGAAACCAAACCTACCAGGAACTTCAGGAAGCAGGAGGTATCAAAATTACCTGCAAACTTTTCACATTTGTGATTTTTATAGCAGATCCAGAATTTGCCTGCGACCCTTTTCCAGGCGTGGCTTTGGCACTGGAAGGCTGTTCACTTGCATCTCTCATGAGGCACAATTTTGGATTCTTAAGTTTTTTGGGAGACTTCGCTTTGTCAGTAACTGCATTGGAACTCTTGGTCTCACAGAGCTCCCGATGTTTCGGAGTAAACGACACGACGATCCTATTCCCAAAGACATCTTCGTTTTCCATTCGCTTCTGAGCCCGCTCTGCACTGTCCTGGTTTACGAAGCGGAGGACCGCGCTGCAGCCTGCGATGCTCAGCACCTTCCCGCCGCAGTTATCGGACAGGCGTCTGAGCCTGTTGCTGACGCTCTTGCCGTCTTTATTTGCTGGTAGGTTATAGACATAGAGCAGAGTGTGGCACTGCTGGTACAGAGGAGAAGTGTTACAACAGGTCACCTCAAAAGCACACGTTCAGTTACAGTAGAACAGGGGGCGACCTACAAACAAGCTAGCTACCCTGGAGGGGAGGGAATCATGACTTAGATGGGACAAGGAGAACTGAGTTAGACTGGAAAACACAGGAAAAGAGAAATGTACCTGAAGTTATCACTCTAGGGAATGACCTTAGTGAGATTCAATGTTCTGAATTTTTTTTTTTTTAAGTATAAGGAAGAAGGATCTCCATAGTGGGCAATCTTTCACCTAAAACACTACATTTGACTTAAAGGTCTTCTAGATTAGAAAAGTGAGTGCCAAACAGAAGCAGAAGGGAGGAAACATAGCTACAGCCAAAGGACTAAAAACATAATGAGTAACAAGAATGAATTAGGAGGGCGGCTCTGAAGACTGAAGTATGTCACTCCTCAGGCCACCAAGGCAGCTCGTCCTTAGCCTGTGACTAGTCTTGGCTTGGCTGGGGAGTCACACAGCAGGGGCACTAGCAGTGCAAGTGCTTGGATTGGGGGTCGAGGGTCCTGTCTCTGCTCTGCTGACATCAAGCTGTGTGACCTCCCCCGAACTGCCTCCTTTTTCTAGGTGCTGACTTCCTCCTCCCTACAGTGAGGTGGTTGGGTGAGATAATTTCTCTAACGTGCTTCTGTAACTCTGTAAAGTTATTTAACTATGTTCAGGCTGTATTTAATGAATGGGACGCCCACTCTTCTGCTGCACCCACACTATAGCCTCTCTCCACTGTTACTGCTTCTGTAAGAGCTATGCACAGATATTCTCCAAACATCTTAGACACAGCTCAGCACGGCAGTAAACATTCTTACCCCAGATCAAGACTATCGGAAATGCTCACCCTGCTGCAAGGATGCTCCCATTCTCCTATCAAGGTGTAGCAATAACCACTTCTAATTGTGCACGTGAATGGCAGGGCACGCAGCTTTAGGCAACAGGCTCGAGCCCTGCTGGAGCATTAAGGATTAAATGCCTAAAAACTGCACAATTCCTGTCTGACTCCAGCCACACCGGTCGGTACAAACCATCACCATATTCTCTGCCCACAATACTTGGAAACAAAGGGACTGATGACTCTTATTCCATTATTTCTATCCATTTGACACAAAGCATTGCTAGCTTTGGAGACACCGACAAGTGGCTGTTAATAAGGTAAAACAAAGTCGATTCCCTATGATATTTTGAAAAAGAAAAGCAACATTCGTACATATCAAGTCTCGGTATATTTGTAAGAGAAGCACTGAGGGTTTCTAAGTCTTATTTCAAAATCTGGCCAGCCTCTTACAAAGAACAGCACCCACCACCCCCCAGGCCTGGAGACCCTCTTGTTAAGGGCTGTCTTTCGCCTCCCTAAGCAAACACAGGAACACAGTAAAAAGAATGCAAACCCACTTACCGGCATTTTTAGTGGTAACCTGGGGGGCAAGTCGGAAATGAATTCTTCAAATCTGATCAGCTCATTAGCATGATGCAGCAGCGCTTCTGAGGCCTGGTTTTTATGGACCAAGATTATGTGGAAACCATGCCTATGTCTCAGGTCACTAAGTTCCAATGCAAAGTTGACATCAGCTGCAAGAAAAGGCACAGCCCAACCCCATCATCAGACATTAGAAACACTTGACAGAGAAAGACAACTCTGCTGACACTCAGTGAGAAAGAAGGAATGGCTGGATTATATTCAAAGCTGCTCCCCTCCCTTTTTAGAATAGGCGCCCATTTCATTATCAGAAGCATTAACACGTAAGACAATTTTATCACACACTTTTACTGAATCCCAAAACATGTTAGTTACTTCAGTGGTAACAGAGCAAATATTAGTATTTTAGGGAATGTCAACTTTGGAAATTACTCATCTTAGATTTATAAAATTAGCAACACTGGGCCCAGGGTAAAGGGGGGGAAAAAAACATTTTCTTTAATAAACTTGGCCCCCACAAGAATCCTTACGCGAGTTCCAAGGAGAAAATACAGAAATCCACGTAGACCCAATGTTTTTTTCCTAAACAGTTCTCAGAGATAAGCATAAATATGCCCTATGTATTTCAGCTTCTTTGGGGGCACAATTCACTTTAGTAAGTTTTATGTTTTGGCTTCTAGGACAATTCCCACCCAGTGAGTTTAGCTGACATGAGCAGATGCTGCCACACTTACTTGACACAAGAACAACAGTGGCGGGAGCGACGTGCGTATTGGCAAACCTTCGGAGACTCTGGCGGAGTTTGTCATCAGCAGCATTCTTTGCAGTAGCATTGATGTGGGCGACGGTTACCTGCACGAATGTATAGTAAGGACAAATGAGCAAAAAGGCTGTAGTGAGACCATCACTACACATTTTGTCCACATCTTAAGAGAGCGTCCCCGAGGGAAGAAACTCATTATTATGAGTACAACTTAGGAACGGAAAAAAAACTACAACCACATCTCCTTAATCTCAAATTTGGTTCTCCATCTTTTGTCTTCTGCTTTTGCACTTCAGCCCCCTTTCAGAAAATAGGTAGAGAAAAGGAAATGAAGTTTGAAGTAGTTAAATGAGCGCTCACGAATAGTTTTTGCCAACAATTTGGGACTGGCAGAGATTTGATATGTGATTAAGGTAAGATTTGGAGCTGTATTTGATGTTATTTGTCTATGCCAGAGGTGTCAAACTGGCGGCCAGCGGGCCGCCTTGAGGTAATTTTTTGTATACTCGTCTTCAGTAGTTAAAGGGTTAACGAGGGAATTGTGTGTACGGTATTGTCTCCATCTCCTCTAAGCGCTATTTTCTTCATAACAATTTTTTCTATTTTCATTTTATTTCAGAGCATCGTGGGCCACAAAAAAATTACCTCGAGGGTCGCATGCGGCCTGCGGGCCACCAGTTTGACACCCCTGGTCTATGCTATATACATTGTCTATGGCTTTCAGGACCTGCAGTTAGGGGGTGGGAGAAGAGAGGCATCTGCCCCTTGGGAGTTAAAAATGTGTTTATCCCTGTTAAAACTATCAGGCTCACTCATAACAGCCTCCAAAGCAAGGAAAGGTTTGTTTTCAAAGGTGCCTCAACCACATGCGTGCACGCACGCACACACACATACACACACACGGGATTTATTAGTTTTTAGAAAGAACATAAATATGTCATTTTAAGCAGCAATGTGGCATATCAAGAAATAAAGTGTGACAAGGAGCCGGAGTCTAGTTACAGTTGAAGACAAGATACTTTGGAGTCAGTCTGGACTTAAATCTTAGCTCATCCACTTACTCCCCCTGCAATCTTAAAAAAAAAACCTGCTTAACCACTTGGAGGCCTCAGTTTCGTTTGTAAATTGCAAATAATAAATCCTATGTGCCTTGCTCACAGAGCAGTGATGAAAATCAAAGGCAATGATACATATGTAACCATTACAGTGGTTTGATACTAGTCACAAATAAGTAGCATGACTGAAAAATTAGACATGATTAAATGATTCTTAGTACAGCAGGCCCTCAAATAATGTCATTTTATTCAATGTCATTTTGTCACATTAATGAGATGCCGTAGGAACCTAACTCTTGTTTACATCAATTAGGTAAAACTGGTTTCACTGTATGTCATTTTGCTTAAAGTCGCAGAACCTATTGGCAACATTAAGTCAGGATGTACTGCACTTTAGAAATAATCTTTTGCTTATTTCCTTGATTTGCAAACTGAGCACAAATACCTATTATTGAACAAATTTTGAATTCTTTAAAAAAGAATTTGGAATTCTTAAAAAAAAAAAATCACGTTTATTCTTCTACCATAATCGATTGAAATTCTTTTTTTTTTTACCTGACAATTATTCAGCTCTTGAATAACTTCTTTGTTTTCTTTACTGATGTCACACACACAGATGAATTCTGCTTCCCTGTGGCCTTTAAAAAACTTCTCACGGATTCTCTGCACAACAGCAGTCGCTGAGCGGCCAGAGGGAACGGAGCAGTTTTCAATATCCCAAAAAACTCCAATAGGGGGTAAGTTTTCTAGCACCTGTCCGGCTAGGGCAATTTCTGGTGACCCTTAAGAAATGTTAACACTTCCAATTAGACATAGTGAAACAGAAATGGCAAATTAAATAAAATAGGCAGCTACCTATCATTCTTAGTGGCAGAAAAATGAAATTATTGATGGATGTTAACTTTAAGGATACCAGCCTCACCGGCTGACCTAATAAAATAAACAGCCCCCAAGTTGCCATAGTCTCTCTAGCGATTATCCCTATTTTTCAGGAGAGAACAAATCTAAAGGTCAAGTTAAGCCCACAATAAATCCATTGCAAGCATGAGCCATCTCATGCTGGGTAGGTATGAGTCCCTGAAACCTGACACATAGATGACCGGACACTGGGCCCTGATTTTCAGGCTTCGCCCATGCTGTCTACCTACTCAGCACGGAGAACAGGTAAGAGGTGACGAAGGGGGAATTTCTTGTTGTCCTGGATTTTAAATGATTTTTAAGGCTGCATTAACATGATTTAATCTTTTAAAAATGTTTAATTATTTAAAAAATGTTTTCAAAAGGCAAAATATTACATTAACTACTTGGGGGTGGGGGTGATGACCTTAGGTTTTCGAATATCGTTTTTCACCACCCTTTACTAAATCTTTCTAAATACTAAGTCCTTCTAGGGAGGATACAATTAACAAGTGTGATTATGAACCTAACTTGGTACCAAGTCCCATCCAGCACTTTTTTCTCCTAACACACTCCTCATTTTTCTATATACAGCTTCTGATCTCAAATAGCCTCAGCCCAACATAAACAGCAAATCATTTAACTCGTCTATAAAAATAAAAAGATGTTTACCAAGACATGGAAATGGAGACTCACGTACACATAGTAGCTTTAGAACCACAAGGAATCTTCTAAAGGCGATGAAATGCAGTTAGTGTCAGATACTGAAAGCTATCCAAATATGCACATTGTATACCATACTGTCATTTACCAAATTTTGAAGCAGCTTTGCCGAGATTGGTCGCCAGTGACAGCGTGGTCTCCTTCCCTGATCCTTTGGCTCCACAGCCGTTACACAGAGGAACAGTAACAGGTGCAGGTTGCGTGTTTGGAGGTGGTATATTTGGCCAGACTTTAGCAGCAGCGATTATATTATTTCTTGCCGGCTGTTTTAAAAATTTTGTGAAAAAAGGATGTTTCGGATACATCATTTCAGGACAGAGTTATATACAACTGAAAACATATTCTAAGGGTTTCTCCTTTCTACCTGCTAACCTCTGATCAAAACGTCTTTTCAAATCATCTTTCCCAGAACTATTAGTTATCAATAAACTCATTTCAAGTGACTTGAAATGGTCAGGGAAGATTGCCACATGATCAGACGTTTCCATTCTGGGGCACGTAGCTGCCGCAATGCAGACCTCAGCCACACTTTACATAAAGGGAATTAAAGTCTCCACTGAAACACAGGGGTGACTGAGGCCAAGTTTCAAGCTCCCCAAATTATTACAAAAGGACAACATGCAGTTACCGAAATTACATGAGTGGGTCCGTGTATAGGGTGCGTGTTAGTTATAAGGAATCGCAGCCATGCTCCAGCCTTCTAAGACAAAACAGAATGCGAGGCTTTGCCAAACTAGGTTCGTGTGTGAGTGACAGGTTTGTTACAAGAGGCCGGAAGAACACAAAGTACATAAATAATTACTCCCTAGTTTTCTGAATCCCTTTACTCTTTGTTTCTTTCAAGACCAGAAATTATGCTGATGGGGAGAAAGCTACATCACGGAAGGATCTTCGACCTCATGCCCCCAAAAAGGATTTTCAAGGTATATCCGCTTTTAAAAAGTCATTCCTCAAACCTCGGCTGCACCCACCATGTGAAATAAAAAGATACCAACCTTGTTCAGACAGTCTTCGCAGTACAGGGAGCCCTTTAAACACACTGGAGGGACCACATTTAGGTGCAGAGACTTGGTGCACAGGTGAGGCACTAGCTCCGGCTGTGACACGTGCTCTTCCAAGTGCCCCGGAGCCCCACTTGTGAAGTCAGGACAGGGGAAGTAGCCAGTGGAGGTGCAGCCCTGGAGAGCCGGGAACTGGTGCAGCTTGTGCACGTTCCCATGGCACGACTGGAAGTGGAGCTTTCCACAACAGGGCAGGTGTTGGCAGGAAGAGAGGTTACTTTCTAGACACATGCTGGGGAAGTCGCTTGCAATGCCGGCCACATTGTTCCTAGCCGAGGCATTCTGGAGGGAAGACGCAGACTGGAAAGCAAACCCTGACCCCACCTGACACGTGATGGTCCTGGTGCTTTGCGAGTCTAACCGTGCGCCCCTGTGAATCAAGCTCCCGGTTCCTCCACCACCGCCACCGCCACCGCCACCGCCACTGCCAAGATGCATTGGTGAAGTGGAGGAGGGTTCATTAGTGCAATGAGCACAGCAGCTTACTTTGGGGACAGCTGAGAGCTGTATTTTAGGTTGCTGGAGAGAATGAATATCTGGAAGCGGGACTGCTGGGAAAAGCGAGGAGCCCGCATGAAGGGGAGATGGCACATCCTTTAGTTCCACAGCAGCTTTCTTGTTCTCCATGTACTCTTTCTGAGGAAAGACAATCAGAACACAATTTTATGAGGCCAGCGGTTTCTGGTTACATCCTACTGCAGTCAGCCATGGAAACAGTGTTCAATCCTGTTCATACTACTTGATCATGACCAAACGAAATGGAATGGCTGCTAAAAGCAGGGCCATTCTAGAGAGGTCTGCAGGAGGTGAGCATGGAAACACAACTAAAATTAAGGCTGTGTTCCTCCTGAACTTTGAGAGATGAGGGGAGAGGTCTTTAGCAAGCCCGGTTACCCATCTGTGCCTCAGTTACTCCCTCTGACAACCTCCCTTTGCCTCCCAGAAGACGATATAAGTGGTATGAAAACAACGCAGTCACAAACAGCATTCAATCAAGACGGCTTGCAAGCCAAGTGCTCTGAGGAAAATACTTAATAGTTCCTGCTGTCAGATCACAAGGGGTTTTAGGACGGTCCTCCAGAGAACAAGATTCCACACATTAGGGGTGAGTTCGGCCATCTGTGTTAAGGTCTGTAAATGTGGTGTTGATGGCATTTAGCAAACCCTAGGATATCATGACCTACAGTCATAATAATGCCAATAATTACTCTGTAGCCGGTGAAAAGAATTACAGCAATTAGAAAATTATCTGGGAAAAGGTACAAAGAAAATAGTTTGTTATATGCCTCCAACATAGACACAGGAGGCCAGTATATTTATAAAGCGCATAGCATTGGTGTCACAGGCCTGGGTGGCATGTGACACTCAACAGTTTTATGACCTTGGGTAAGTTACTTAACCTCCCCACACTGCCATTTCCTCAGCCTTCAGTTGGGAACAGGATGTACCTCCTACCGTTGTTAGGAGAACAAAATGAGACCATGCACATACAGCTCTCAGCTGAGTACCGGCGACTAAAGGGAGACCCAAGAAATCAAGAACCTTCACGGGCTGATGGCAGGCACTATTAAGATGAACAGGATGCCCTTATACAGAGATTAAGACTTGCTCGTCCCTCGGAGCACAGAAGGGTTCATCTGACTGCCATGATTTCATTGCTTTTGCTGTGTGATCTACACTCATCCAGGAGAAATCTGGATTTCTAGTTAGACATTTCCTGAAATGGGGGTAACAGCCATGAGCTGACCATCTAACAATCAGTGTGTTCTGCCCTCTTGGCAATTACAGTTCTGGCTGGAGATGAATTGGCACTCTGATTTGCGTAGATCTGGCTTCTATGGGCAGGGTTATTGTGAGTTGGTCCCCTTGAACATACTCAATTCTGGATGCCACGGACAAAAACCCAGTGGCTGGAGCTGCACAGGTGAGAGCACAATTCTGTACCATGTGACACCATAAGGGCCAGATCTGCCATCACAGGAAGGCCTGCTGGAGCTGCCAACCCTTACTGTCAACTGTCCCTAAAGCACAACAATTCTGAAAGGACCCAAGTTACTGATGCCACGCAACAAAGATAACTACATAATGAAAACCTGGAGAAGACAGGGCATTTAAGTTTTTTTTGAGAAGTTATTCATACCTTCATATAAACTCATCATAAAGTCTCGTTTAAATCCTAAACACAACAGCAAAAAAAGAAATAGAAAAGTGGTACCATTATACCCAAAATATAATCAGAAAAACGTCAAAATCACTATGAAAAGACAAGGGAAAAAATCAGAGATATATTTAAATATTCAAGAGAAATCTTGAACAGAAAAAGTGTCAAGAAGTTCCTAGCAATTTTTTCCTTGATTATAAGAGTCAACGCTCAGAAGGCTATAGTAAAATAAAATCTATTTTATACTTTCTTCCAACTGTATTCTACAAGGCGGATTTTATCTTTGGAATCTGTGACGTTAATGAGAAACAAATCTTCCCAAAATGTTAACATTAAATATTTAAAGCATCTTCTGAGACTTAAGAGTAGAAGTGCAGGAGTTAAAAAATTATGCTCTCATTGAGTCAGGAGTTACAACAATGTGCTGTAAGGAGGGATATAAGCAGGACACAGGGGAAAACTCAGCAGACTCCAGGGAGAGAGCCTGCCCCACACCAAATGGCCCTCTCATCTATCTGCATTAGGAATTTGCTAGGTCCTTAGTCTTGCACATAGTTACCGTTTGGGGACTACGTGGCAACATCTGCTTGGGACCCGAAAAGCAATTAGAGAATTTCCAAAGCCATGGCTTAGCGTCATTATCTTGTTGAAGCCATCCAGGAGTTCTACTGCAGGAGTTCTCAGTTCCGTTTCCTTCCATCATACAGCCACCCAAAGTGGTTCAACATCCTTTCATCTTTCTTTTCTTTCATTCTTCCACCCTGTGAAGAGTGAGATTGCTTTGTTAGTTACATGCATAAGTACACATTTTACTATTAAAATGTGAGCCTACAACTATATTTACGGTGCAGTGGCTCCCAACAAGTCAGATCTTAAGGAACTAAAATAGAATGGCTATCAAAGCATATTACAGGTTACTGAAATCTGGTAAACGGGGTTGACTGTTTATGCTTGAACTCTAACTGTATCAACCGAGTTAAAAAAAAAACCTATCATCTTCCATTCCTCTGGTTCCATAGTTCTTCAAATAAAAAGGAGCTCTGGATGAGCCCTATTTCCTTCTATAAACAGCCACACTTGAGAGAAGTAGCCAAATCTTAGACACCCGGAGATTCCTAAGTGTAACCGCTCATCTTCACCTGACTGGAGCCAACCTCCTCCAGCCCTGAGTAAACTTTTTCTATAGTTTTTCCTAATTCTTATCGACTGTCTCTCCCTAAAGACTCAACTTGTGAGAGTCAAAAAATTAACAGCAGAGAGAATGTAATTTCTCTCTGCAAGAAAGAAGAACCACCACATGTCCTTACTGCCAATTCTGTGAGATTCTGAAACTGATTTATGAGTGACTTATCTCACTGTGTCTTTGACATGAGCATGGAGGGTCCAAATTAAGTGACCTCTGTGGACTCTGACTTTGTTTCTGTTACAGAACAAATCAAACCAATTTCTATTTACTGATTATGAAAGTGCAGTCTGGTATGCCACCAAAAAAACCAGAGAAATCTCAAATCACAGATGTACTGTATCTATTCCAAGGTAACAACGCTTAAACAGTACAGCGAAAGCAGATCAAATCAATAACAGCCATCGGGCATGGAGGCAGCCTGCCAATGGCAAGGACAACCGAATCCCACTTCCACGTCCCTGCCACCATACCCCAGCAACCACCCACTCTTACCTACCATGGCCATTTCAAGGTTATTCACTTAGGTTCCATAAATTTAATCTGGGCCTCTAGGAAAGAATTTCTTATGGTTATTTCTCTGATAAGATGCTCTTTTCAAGTGGTTTAATGTCTACATTAGGGTGAGGGGCAAGAAGACCATACGAGAACTATATGTAAGAGCTGATCACATAAAGCAGGGGTGTGCAAACTGACCTGCCAGCTAATACCAGCCCACTGCTTGTACCTAAATGGCCTTCAAGCTAAGAATGTATTTTACATTTTTTAATTGTTAGAAAAAAATCCAAATGTTGTATGACACAAAATTGTATGGAATTCAAATTTCAGTGTCTATAGTTTATCAAGACATGGCCACACTCATTTAAGTACTGTCTGTGGCAGCTTTTGCACTATAATTGCAGAGTTGAGTATTTGCAACAGAGACATATATATGGCCCACAAAGCCTAAAATATTTACTATTTGGCTCTTATGCTGAAGCTACAAAACTTCATTAAGTTTTGGTTTCTTCCTCTGGAAAGTATGGCTAATTCCTTTCCTGTCCCCCTCACAACATTATTGAGGAGGACAAAAAAAAAACTTAGATAAAGGAGCGCACCATCTGTTTTCACCACTGTATTGCCTGTGCCAAGCACAGGGCCTGGCTACGTAGACTAGACCAAGTAAATATTTGTTGATACGGGAATGAAGAAAGCTGTTTACCTAGTACATGAGTATACAGTTAGGAGTTATTTGGAATAGATAGATGGAGTTAACTCTTAGCCACAATGTTATTAAGTTATGGTACTTGTTTTTCCTATTAAATACAGGTCTTATATCTCCCCACAATCTCTTCTAGATCATAAAAATTTGTAATGTTCAACTTCAACAGGCTCTCGCAAACCTCTTCAAGGCCAATCCTGAAAGTGTGCTGACAGGTAGAGTACAACATAGTTTGCTAAGCATTTTTATTTAACATTTCAAAATTCAGCAAATATTTACTTAGTATCAACTATGTGGCAGGCCTATGCTTGGCCAAGGGCTATAATGATAGAAAAGACCAGACAATGAGATCCATTTATGTAATTTGTTTCCACCTTAAATCTGTGAGATAGACAAGAGAGAAATTGGCCACAACTTATGGAGAAGGAAACAGAAATTTGTAACTTGTCCCAAATCACACAATTAGAAAGGGGGCAGAACCACCAGGCTTGTCCATCCCTTTTTACCACACCAAGGGGGCCTTCACTACTGCTCAACACAATGACAGAAAATACAAATGTATTATTAACTTGTTAGTGACCTGCACCTGGAAATTTCCCCAATTATTCCTGGGAATCCCACTAAGGAACTTAGGTAGCCAAAGCAAGATTGGTTTGAGTGGAAGTCTCACTTCTGACATCATCTCGCAGAGTCTTTGAGCAATTAAGATAATGGTTGAGAGCAGACTCTGAAGTCAGACTGTCTTGCTATTAATCCTCAATTCTGCTGCTTCCTATCTGTGCAGCTTTGGACAACTCACAAGCTCTCTGAACCTCAGATCCCATCTGTAAAATGGGCCTGATAATAATAGTAGCATCCTCGCAGGGCTGTTGTTTGGATTAAATGAGATAATCAAAGTAGAAAATTTAGCAGTGGCCTTCTCTTAACACCCACTCTAGTCCTCGAAGGCTACACATCCCTTTACTAGGGTTTTTTTTCCACAGCTCTTGTATCTAAAATTATCTTGTTTATAATTTTTTTTAATCTGTGCCCCCCACTTGAATATAAACTCCATGACATCAGGGATCATGTTTTCTATTCATTTTTGTATCCCCTGGATCTCGCACAGTGCCTGGCACTTATCAATAATTGTTGAACGAATGAAGAGTTCAATAAATATCTAGGAAGACCGTTTAAATCAGGTTTCAATTTTCACCGTTCAGAGATGGTGGGAAGTCCAAAAGACACAAATGTAACTGGAAAGTTCTTGGTAATACCAGAAAGGTTACTTGGGAAACTCTAAAAGGTGTATCAAGGTGTCGCGCTACAATTAGTAGTGGGAGTGGCTTAACCTCTAAGAAAACAACACTATCTGTCCAACTAGACGCTACACCCTAGAGTGTTGGAAAACCGAGGAAGGTGTAAAACGCTCGGAGGGTGGGGGGAGGGTTTGCAAAAGCACCCGCCCCGTCTTCCTCTCTTAACCTTCCAATTGTGCACACTCCTCTGGAAAGGTTGCTTTCCACACCTGGAGGTACCACAGGGAGTAGCGAGACAGGTGCGGGCGAGGAGCCAAACACCCCACGCCCCAAAAAAAGACAGCAGTGACAGTCCTGAACGGACGAGAACGGACGTGAACCTTTAGTGGGAGCCTGACTGGTTAGTCCCAGTCCTTCCCCTAGGACTTGTCAACCTCCCCTACCTCCTCCAGCAATGGGCAGAGGAAGGGGGGGCACTGTTTCCCATGCAGCCTGGGGGGTCCCAGAGCAGTGGGCTCCTCAAGAACTAGTTCCCAGAGCGGCCAGCACACTCACCTGAGCCACCAGCTCCACCTCCGCTCACATTCCGGCCCCACCGCCTTCCCCCCGCCCCCCCCAGGCCCTTTGTTTTGATTCCCGACTCCGCTGCTCCCGCCGCCGCCGCCAAGCGCACCCTCCACTTCCGCTTCCGCACCGCACCGCCCCTGTCGCAAAACCGACGCCCTTCTCTCCCTCTCGCTCCGCCCCTTCCTCCATCCCTCCCCCGCCGCCGCGTTCTCCCCGCGCGGGGCGTGCTGGGAACCCGGGGGGGGCGGGGCCTCGCGGCCCTGCAGCCTCGTCAGGCTCAGTCCCCTCCCGATAAACCCCTAAATAGGGACCTTCCCGGGGGGCAACCCCGGCTTTTTGGGCAGAACCCCCAAGTTTAAGAAGGTCTCGCCCCTGGCTTATAGTTGTGGAGTGGAAAGGAACTTGAAAGCGGAGAATTCGGGAGCTTGTGAGGTGGAACCCGGGGAAAAACCTGCCCACCAGGATTTGGTACAATTCAGTTCTTTCGATCTTTTGAGGGAAATGGACTTAAACGGGATTTCGATGGAAACCCCGATCGCTTTGCCTTTCTCCTCTCTCTCTCTCCCCCTCCCTCCCGCCCTCATCTTGTCACGTGATGATTTTTTCTTTTTTTTTTTTAATTAAATGACGCATATTTTCCACAGCATCCTTAATCTAGTGCAACCTAGTGGCGAGTGTAGAAAAAAAAAAACTGCCCACAGAGCCGACCGCCGGGTCCTTCCGGCCCGTGGGGTTTCTCGCCGAGTTACGACCCACCTGGCAAAAATAAAGTGTGAGAGCTAAGACTAGGCTGGATATTGTCACCAGCCATTAAGAGGTCCTCGTGACTTTAGTAAGAGAAATTGATTTTTAAAAGCCCTGCTCCAGAGCTCATTACAAAAGTACACAACTTCTCCAGTGACAGGCTGGGCGAGCAGAAAGGAGGCTTTAATAATTGTAAAAGGCCGCTAACAGCTTATATAGGTGGATAGATAGGCCACGTTCGGTTTTTGGTTTGTTTTTTGTTTTTTTGGTCCCCCCTCACAATCTAATTTTACCTAAAATTTAAAAAAAAATTTTTTTTAAGTAAGCAAAACGGTTATTTGCGAAACAGCCAGCTGCTCGCTATTTCCTGTTGCAAATGAGGAGAACAAAGCACATAGCTGTATGTAAATCTAGACATAGTTTAGGATGTGCTAGCTGAAGACTATGGAAAAGTTTATTTCTGAAGTTTGGCAAGACACAGGTTCACTTTGCCAAAGAATCAGCAAGCAGCGATGGCCAAAAGATAACTTTTTTCCCCCTGAAGTCTGCAGCGTGAGGCAATTGCATTAGGCAATTTGCAGTAAGTGGGGTCAATTTCAGGGGAAGCTAATACATCCCTATAGACATCCTTGTAGACCTGTGTTGTGGAGGGCAAGATCAAACACGTAGTTGAAGAGTCCTTTGTGATTGAATTTCATTTTCCAGTAGGCAGGTGACAAGTACACACACATCTGCCTGCGTAGGTATTTATTACTGCTGAGTAAATCTTCATTGGATCTGTGTGTGGGGAGTATTTTCCAAGTGGGAATTAGAACAGATGGAAAAGCAACCCTCTTTCTAGCGTTTTGTTTTTTTCAAAGTACCAAACCAAATATTGCTTCTCTTTAGGGGTGTTTTTCTTTCTTTCTTTCTTTTTTTTTTTTTTCCTAGTGGGGTATCTCTGCACATAGGCCACATTAACAAAAAAATATAAAGAAGGAAACAAAGCAATTGTGGGGATTTTAATTGCCTTTTAAATAAAAAGGGTTTAGCCACAAAACAGTAATAAAGAAAGAGCAGACACATTTTGTTTGACTTTGTCTGGCATTCTTTCAAGTCCAGAGCTGCGCCTAGTCTCAACAGGTTAAATGCAGTAAATAAAAATGAATCAATCACACTAAATGGAAAGTGAATGAAAAGTCTAAATTACAAATAATCTTTAAAGAAATGCAATTTTTGTTTGTTTGTTTGTTTGTTTTTTGTAGAAAACTAGCCTGAGCAGAGTATACCAGCCCTTGGAAGCAGGTAATTATGAATTAAAATACAATTTGATCTGTATGAAATAGTGCTTTAACATTTTTGTTAAGATATATTTTCTTAAGCATAGCCTCTGTTAATCTTATTCCTATTTCTTTGCTAGGAAAACTCTTTTATTGGAGAGTAAGAGTAAGTTGCAGTTTTTTCCTTGTCCAAACTATAATCTTCATGTTTATGAAACCAGGATGAAGATTGATTTTTGTGCTGTTGAGCAGCTACTTTACGTTCAGTTCGGCTCCTAAATTAACCTGGCTGCCACTAAAGGAGCTTCTCCCCCATTAACTTCTATCTATGTTAGGTTGGGTTTAGTGTCTTGACATGATAAATTATGCTAGAAGGACTTAAGAGAAACCACGCTCTGCTCATTCATACCTGAATTCTACAGGGAAAATAAGTTGACGAAAGAGAGGGTCAAGTGTTCAAGTACACAAAATGTCCCTTTCGTTTTTAAGGTTTTACCTAATGACATTTACCTAAACTCCTGTTCCTGATGAATGTTTTAATGACAGTCATGTCAACGTGCTCTCTCCTCTTTCAAATGGAAAAATAAAAGAAATTGAAAAACCAACTAGTTTAAACGACTTGATCAAGTGCCATTTAGTCAGGACTGGTACCTCATCAATTCGTGCTTCAGTTTATCTGTAAACTGGGGTGATTATTCCCTGTCCAGAAACCTCACAGGATGGTGAGGGTCAATAAAATTCTGGAGGGAAAGACAGCATAAGAGCAAAAAATGTCAGGAGGATACACATGATTTATTAGTGTTTGGTACCTGGGACCCGAATGGAAGTTTCCCGAAAGACATTTTGGTACTTTCCTTAACCCTGTTGACGTAGGTGGTGGTTCCCTTTTTGTGTCTTTGAGCTTCAGGAACTAGCAAGGAGTCAAAATAAAGTAGAATTAGAGAAAGGTCATTCTTAATCATGGCAGGGAGGCAGGAGGGATTCTGAGTGTGGTTGAAATCCTCAACAGGAGCGAAGATCCCTTGGCCTCTAGGGTAGATGCTGAAGAACACTTGTGTAGGAGTCAAGCGGACGCAGCTTTAAAGGCTGATTTCTTATTTACTAAGAAATAAGACCTTGGGCAATACATTTAACTTCCCACACCTTAGGTTTCTCCTCTTTAAAATGAGGACAATAAAAGTGCTTTCCTGTGGTTCTCATCATCTTGGCCTCAGCTCTAATGTCATCTCGAGTGGCCTGATCATTTTATCTAAAGTGACTCCTCCCCAACCCCTTTCTAACACAGGACCTTGCTTTATTCGTAGCACTTACCGGAGTCAGAAAATTATTTTACTTTTTCTATTTGCTGGTGTAGTGCGTTTCTGTCTTAGTATTACTATAAGCTCTTGGGAGGACAGGCATCTTGTGTGACACTTATTTTGCTATAAGCATGAATGCTCAATAAATCATTGTTGGTGAACAATTAAGATTGCCATGAGAATTAAATGAGAAAACCCATGTCAAGAAGTTAGCATTGTGCCTGACACATAATCAATTAAAAAATCATGATCACTTAACAAATACATAATTGTACTTAACTATGTGTTAAGCACTGTTTTACAAATGCCAAGTTTACTCACTTGGACTCTGCATAATCCTCCGAGGTAGAATCCTATCGCGAACCGAACCCCGTTTTATTGATGAGGAAACTAAGTCACAGAGAGGAACGTGCCCAAGATCACAGAGCTAGAAAGGGGCAGAGTTAGGATGCAAAGCCAGGCTCGAAACCAAACTCTTACCAAGTTTTGAGGCCTTTGAAGAAGATAATAATGTTGAAATTTTTATTTTGGGTGCAAAGGAATTGGAAGAACGAGGGGCATTGCTTGGCCTCAGCAGACCTGGATCTTTGTGTTTTCTTCTGATTTGGGGAAAATGCCATCTGTGCTAAGGGGGCGGGAGGGTCGTATTTTCTTGAAGTGCGTTGGCCCGCAAGTTCAACCCCGTTAGACGGGTGTCCCGGGCGCAGCCAGCATCCTGCAAGGCCGGCCAAGTCCCCGCCCGGCAGCCAGGGCCTCCCCGGCTCCCATTAGCCGCCGTAGGGCCGCCGCGTGGCCGCGCCGGGCCCTGGCCCTGGAAAAAGTTTCCAAAAGGCGCTGCTCGGCGCTGATTGGCCGAGGCGGACCGGTCCCGTGGCGCGGCAGCCAATGAGCGCCGCGGGCCGCGAGCTTTAGGGCGGGGGCGGGGGCCCGAGGTCCGAGCCTCGCCGCCGCGGCTTCTGCTGCCGCCGCCCGTCCTCGTCGCCCGAGCCAGGGTAAGTGGGGAGCTGTAGCCGCCGCCAGGGGTGGGGGCAGCCCGGGAACGGCCACCGCCCCCGGGAAGTTCTCCTGCCCCGCCCCGGCGCGCTCTCGGGACCCCCGGCCGCCGCTGTGCAGGGACCGGGACGCCTCGCTTGCGCGTCTCTTCCCCGCCGCCGGGACTCCGCCGCTCCCGGGCGCCGGGCTCAAAAATCCCGCTTCTCTGGAGCGTCCCTTCCTAACTTTGTGCTTTCCGACTCTTGTGGTCTCGCGTCCGGCTCCTCGTCCTTGCCAACTTTCTCTTGCTGCCCTCCCCTCCCCTCCTTCCTTGACTTCCTCGGTCTTTCTACTCACCTCGTCCCCAGTCCCCGCAGAACGGCTGCTCTGCCTACCTAGCCCCTCCCACCCCAGACTGCTCTGCTTGAGCCCCCTATTCTCTTTGCTCGCCCTGTTTTCTGCCTCGCCTCAATCCCCGCCACCCCCGTTCCTCCTGCTGCCCTCATCTCCCCCTCACTCCTCCCGGCCTTCCTCGCCCACTTCCCCACCCTGTTTCCACCCTCAGTGCAGGCCTCTTTCCAAAAACCTCCTTCCTCCTGGCACCTCCCTCCCTGCGGGAACGTGTTTGGAACCGTCTCCTTCCCTCCGCTTTTCTCAGATCTCTGCTGCAGGACGGTTCAGATTTCCCCAGACAGCACTTTGGGGACGGATTGGATAAAGGATGAAAACGCTTATTCTACAGCTTGAATGCAGTAGCTGGGCGTTCCTGCCTCTCTGAGGTCATGGGAAACCCCCGCCACCCCCTGGACATCGCTTCTACGGAAGCTGCAGGACCTCCAGTCCTCCCAGGCTCTCTGCCTCCTG